GACGAAGCTGGGGATGATGAAGACGAAGAAATGAATCCTGTTGAATGGATCATGGTCACCAGGAGTGACCCGGGCGGCAACATCCCGCGGTGGATGGTGGACAAGGGAACACCGCGAAGCGTGGGAGCGGACGCAGCTAAATTCATCAATTGGGCTCTTCAAGATGACAACCCGCCCAAGCAAGGAAGCACAGTTACGGAATCTGCAAATAACTTAGCAGGCGCCAAGGCTAAATTCGGGGAGTCTACGAATGAATACGACTCTGACCAGGCAGACGACTCAGATACGGATTACGAATCACTCGACAGCGACGGCGAGCATTCGCATCATGGCCTGATTGCCAGTGTCACCGGCTTGCTCAATACTGGGCTGGAACGGTTCGCACCACAAGTTCTAGGCTATGGCGCCCACACCAAGGTATCCAGTGATCTCCCAGCCGGGGACGAGGTTTCCTACATTGATGCAGATGGCATAGCCCACCTAAGCCCAGAAAGTGTTCAACAAAATAAAACAGCGCTGGACGCCGAATCATCAAGATCCCGCGAGCAGGATCATGCTTCAATTTCCTCGGCCAATTCCGAGCATGAAACTGCCGTCGACGAGGCAGCACACAACAACATGTCTACGGAGGAACTGAATCAAATGACAAAGAATGGCAAGCTCACTTCCCACGAGAAAGAGCTCGCAAAGCTAGCCATCCGCAAACGCGAGGTCGAAAGCAAGCTAGAGGAAGTCCGCGCCGAACTAGACAAGTTTCAGATCCCGTCGCAACCGCCAAGTGTCTCAGGGACCCCAGTAAAGGGCATCAGCGAGGCCGACAGCGACACCAACGGGATGCGCAAGCGTGCGGCGACGAATAGGTCTTCCGGGTCCGCCAACGCTCGCACACAGCAGAGCCAAAGCCAACCACAGGGCGAGGTCAATAATGAAGACCAGTCATCTTCTGCGCAGACGGCAACCCCCGATCCGCCATCGTATCTCCCCAAAGCAGCCTCTCAATTTCTCAATGGAGAGTCTAAGCTGCTTAAGCAGCTGCGCAAGATTGAGGCTAGCCAGTTGAAGATTACATCGAAAATTCAAGCGAGAAAGCGAAAGGATGAGGAGCGCTCGAAGAAGTCCAAGTCCAAGAACAAGTCTGAGGTTGATAGCTTGAAGCAGGAGGTATATGATCTCAAGAAAGAGGTCAAGCAGCTTCGCTCAGAGCGCCAGAAATGGGTCGATCTTGTTTCTTCATTGCAGGCGGAGAATACGAGGCTGGCGGCGAAGTCGGGTGCTTAATTGGTAGGTAGACCATAATTATATGACTTTGTACATACTGCATGGCTTGTTTTCTCGCCTCCATGTGTGGATATGTGGTTTTGATGGAATCTGAAACTACATACTTTTTCCTGTGTCTATTACTACATCTGCCTGCTGGGAATAGATTTTAATATCGGATGTCTTCATCTTTCAACAGTTATGGTTGGATTGTAATATCACAGACCAAGACCAATCAAGTAAAATATTGCTGTGGAGCGGCTTCTCCCATTCATTGGGTACAGTTGAGGAACTGAGGCAATAGCAGGCCACCCAGGTCATGATGCTTGTTAGGCACTTGCAGACAGACTGCTGTTGAGTGTATAGTCTCATGTGGTAGACATGGTAAATCACAAATTGTCTCGCTCACTGACAAGAATTGAAGGATTCTTGAAGTTCCAAAACATGGCAATCCCTAGGGGATATCAACCCCCACAGAGAGGGATCTATCGGCCTTGTTCATAGAGCGTTTCGTATGTCGAGTTGACATCATTCCACGCCGAGAAATCGGGGGCGATCTCGAGAAAATGGGTCTTCGGCAATTTCAAAACCGGTACACAGAGGGGATTATCTCATGTAAACGAAGTTGCTGAGCTAGGCTATGGGTGGTCGGAGGATCGAAGGATCGAAGGATCTGCCTTTCCGGATGGAAAGAAAGGACGGAACAAGGGGTATCGAGGAAATCAAGAATAAGCCACACGGCGTGATTTTATTCTTGAGTCTGGACCATTGAAGAGCGCATGTTAGCCAACCCATCTTTGTATTATGTTGAGCAATTCTGCAAGACACCACATACCTCTGGTGGATTACCAGCACCTCTGACCATTTTCTCCAGCATCATTGTGCGCACCTTCTCCTTTGGTTCGCCCATGCCGACAGCCATGTATGACAGCAGGGGCGGGTGACCGACGTAGGAGGAGTAGCTGTCACGGAGGATGTTGGACGTCCATTCGTACTTGGTGGTATCGGCATGTCCGGTACCGATGTAACGGGCCTGGAGAGCCTCAAGGTTCTGGATGGTGCGGAGCTTGTCGGCCATGGTGGATAGTTGAGACGTTGACGTTGGTTGGATTGAGTAGTAGGAGGATGGCGTGAAGCTTGGTAGAAAGAGAACCATCCGTGCCTCAGGCATAGTTATACCAACTCACGTGATCATATGGGCATCTTGAGATTCTTCGACCCTGACTTTGCCTTGAATATAGAATTTGGTTATTTAGGAAATTGCCACTCAGGCTATGATTATATCCAATGTCTGGTGATACATCTAGTTTTTCGTTATCGTCCCGGATAGCATCACTGGTTCACTCACATTTCGATGCTCTGCCAACGCGCAGTAAACCAACCATATTTCCAGATGGGTCGAGAGAATGGATTCCAATGACTGGTATTGTGGCTGTCAAAGGTATGTTATTTACTCAATTATTTATCGAGTTATCATCCCTCGTCCATGTATGTACGGTCAAGGGGAGGGGTCCATTCTTTACTCTTTACTTAGGTCTTTCCTTTGATTTGATGTCACTCGACGTTCTATAGTAACATTGTTGTCTTCTCGCTTATAGGAGAAAACACACCTTCAGAAAGTCTGACCTGCATCTCTGTCACGTAAGTGGGCTTTCCCACTTAAGCAAGTCTGAACGTTCAAAAAAAACTGATACCTATGTAGGAGCGGTGCAAAGTGCTTGTCGGCATCTCATATCCCACGCTGCAGGGGTCTTGTATTACATGACTGCCATGCCGAGATATTGGCCATCCGAGCATTCAATTATTGGCTTTTGACAGAATGCAACAGTGTCCTATCCCGGGAAAAGCAATTACCGAATGGCCATGATCCTTCTACCGATAATCAAAAAGTTTCAGATTCTCCATTCATACAAAGGAGAAAGATTGGAGAGGATAAAGATAGTAACGGTACACCACCCACAGAATGGCCGCCTTTTGAGCTTCGGCCTGATATCAAGATTTACATGTATTGCACATGTGCTCCTTGCGGCGACGCAAGCATGGAGCTCTGCATGGCAGCCCAAGAAGATGCCACACCGTGGGAAGTCATACAAGAAGAAGGCCCTTCGCCGAAAACCCAAGATGCAGATGACCCAGGTACCGAGACCCTTCTAGATGGCCGGGCCCACTTCTCTCTTCTCGGGGTCGTGCGTCGAAAGCCAGCGCGCATGGACGCCGAGTCTACGCGCAGCAAGTCCTGCTCAGACAAGCTTGCATTGCGGCAAGTCTCATCCTTGCTGTCCTGTAACACCAGTCGGCTCATTGCCCCCTCCGAAAACGCCTATCTGGCCGGTCTGGTTCTTCCTGAGGACGAAATCAGCCAAGTTGGCTGTGACCGCTCCTTTGGCGAGAATGGCCGAATGCAGGCTTTGCGTGGGCGATATTGGCCAAATGAGACGAAGTCTGAAGAAAGCACACTAGGGTATCGATTCCGGCCATTCCAGGTTCTTTCGGTGCCGAGTGAAGAGGTGGCGGCGCTTTGGCCTTTTGCAAAGCCGAAGTCTGTGCCTTGTCCTGCAATTTCTTCGGGCCAAGAAGGAGACCCTTCGGTGTCTGGTGTAAAATCTAAAAAGTCCAGGCCAGGGAATGTGAGTGCCGTTTGGATATTGGCTCCCTCGTATCATTACCCATCGGCAATGACTATGGATACCGGCAGCAAGACAGTGCCAACTCTTTGCCGTTCCAAAACCGGCTTGTATGAGACCATCATCAACGGAGTGAAGCAAGGAAACCGGGCATCCTCACCTGGTTCCCGTGGGGCCTCGTCTCTATCCCGAGCTAAGCTTTGGGCTCTTTTTCGCGAAATTGCCCCTGCATTGGTTCCACGTACCTGTCAAACCAATGTCTCCCCAGCCGGATCGCTGTTGCATGCTTCAGAGACTGGAGATCCGCACGTCGATATAGTTCAGCAACGTGTGCCAGATATAACCACCTACCAGGATTTCAAAAATCCTACCAGATTAGGAGATCCATTGCAAATCCGTATGCAGGCCATCAGGGATGCGAAACTGGTTCTCAAGGGATGGACGCCCAATGCAGGAGATGAATCTTGGGGCTTGGATGTTTTGGTTGATCCCAAAAAGCGAAAGCGTTGATTGTGTCCAGAGGATGCAAGGTTGCAGAAGATTACGCTGGGCCATGCGTAGGTAGTAACCCCGTCGTGTTCCCCATTCAAGATACCATAAAATATAATATACTTGGTGTCTGGACAAAAGGAGGCTTGGTTTAAAAAGTATCTTGGCTATCAAAGAGAGGGACTGGTTTGCTGTTCCTTGTTGAATCAGCTCTTTATAGGCGTCAAACAAACTGCAGCCTAATCAATCACTGAGAGAGCGGAGTCCAACAGAATGTCAACAATGGCATGCCTCAGGAATTTACTCGGGTGTCTGATTGTCAGATCTTCTTGCTCTTCTCACCACTCTCTTTCCTCCCCCTGCTTTCTGGTCCCCAGTCTCATCAACCTACGACTTCACACCTCAGGTCTCAACTCCAGTGGGCAACAATCGATGCGATATTCCGCTTCTTCAACGCATCTTTGATTGCAGCCGCCAGCTTTGTCTTCAAGATGGCTCTGAAGTCTCCAGCCGAGTGCGCAAATTGTGGGACAGTAACTAAGACAATGTGTTCGCGCTGCTCGCATGCACCCGAATACCAAAGCGGCGATTCTCGAGTTTTTTTTTAACTGCAGCCGCGAGTGTCAGGTAATGGACTGGCCGAACCACAAAGACTACTGCAAGAACATGCAGCAACGGAAGATACTGCTGCGAGCTGCCCAGGTACTGAAGGCAGCCATGTTGGCATACAGGGAGATTGTATACGACGTGGACCTAACTAAGATCGAGTACCGAGATGGAGTCCTCTATCTCCACCAAATTCAAAGACCGGTTTCATCCCAATCCAAACGCGGTCCCTTCCCAAACCACATGACCGACAACATCGAGCACAAGGAAGCGGCTCTCGTCAAAAGCCAATCCACAGCAGCCATAGCGCTCTTGGGCCCCTTGACCAGAAGACTTCTTCGAGGTAAAGAGCTTTATAGTCCCCATGTACCGAAGCGAGTTGTGGCTAAAGCAAAGCAGGTGTACCATTGAAAATTGAGAGCATGGTCGTCAATATCGGAAAACCACGGGTTCCAACTAGGCTCGTTCCCGGTCCTGACTTGCACGGAGGTCCACACACGGTGTTGAAAATAGGAACCGAGAGCAACGAAACATGGATCATCGATACAACAGGCTGCCAGTATGGATTCCGAGATGTGTTTATTCCATTTGGAAAGTATTTTCTTGACAACAAATGCCGGATATTGAATGGACCCCGGATTTACGACACATACGAGATGAACGACTTGGACTACTTGTCAACTCTTCATGTCTTCTACAAAACAAAAGCGCAACGTCAGGATATGCGACTAAAACGACTGACCCGTCACCATTTTGCCGTCTTCGTTTATCTGAGTGTTCACGATAACTTCCTTGTGGGGTCCGATGCCGACTACAAACGAAAAATCGGTCACTTCGTCAATGAGCTCAAGACTCACATGGTTGATTCTATAAGGAAAGTAGGTGACGATTTTGAAGATTCTGAAGATGATTGAAGAGCTCATAACCCGATGTATTTGTTCATTTAGTTAATCTCAGACCCGGTCTGATACCGGAAATTCGCGTGACTATAAAAGTACCATAGTAAATGTTTCGACCGCACCTCAATACCAAGACTATGTCTATCTCCTTTGGGTGTTTCTTATACTCCTTCTCCTTCTATAGAGTCCCATACTCTTCTTACATTAGCAATTATTCTTCGCACTATCCACCACCAACTCAGACTACAGTTTAAGTACTTGTTGGATATAGGTAGGTCACACCTAACCTTTAAATCGGCTTAAGGCGCATTCAGTTAACACACCCTGCCTGATCTACCAAGTACATCACTTGTGTTGCATTATCCGTATATAGCAATATGGAGTCTGAAGACCGGGACAGCTCCAGCACTCACACTCCCAAAGTCAGCAAGGCGAGGCAGTCGATAGAGAAATGTATGGTTCAGTTTGTGACCACCTTGATCGTCGAGACTTTTGAACACATCTTCTTTACACAGGTTGATAATCATTATGTCCTTCATCCCAAGTTATACTTCTCATTTTATTGGTTATCTAATTTTCTATACGAGAAGTATAGGGGAGGGTATGTAGATATATCATATTTCGAAAATATACCTCAAGGGGTCCTCTTTACTTTCGTATGATAACTTGGGAACCCTGTTGGAGACAACTGGCAGCGAAGTATCAATTAGTACATCAGTCTCACTTTGGCTTCCAACGTTACTTCAATTCTAGAATGCGATGTGAGTTCTGAAGCACAACTGAAAAGTCTCTCTTTGCACGAAGTTGTAGGTAGACTTTGTATTTACCATCTTGTCTTGTCAAATTCTCCTACAACAGCAATAGTAACAGTGACCAACTTTACTGTAATCCAAAGAGTGCAAGACTCCTGTGAAAGCTTTTTGCAGGTCGAAACATTAGTGATGATTAATATACAAAAAAATAAGGCATAAAAAAGTAAATCCAAAGGGATGTGAAAGAAGTTCTTGATGGAAATCTCTCAGTAGATCCCAGGGATGATGCGGCTGCGGACGATGGAGGTATAACGCTTCCAGTCAGCGCCATACTTCTTCTCGCACTTCTCCTCATCACGCATCTCACGGTGGATCAACAAGATACCAAAGTAGAGCATGTAGAAGTAAGTGAAGATCATACCCCAGCCACGGACTTCTGGGGTCTGCACGGCTTGCTTCTGGACAACGCCACTGGCTGGGTTGATGCTCTCAATGAGAACATATCCCGCGACACCAGTTGGCAGACAGTAGGCCCACGACATGGTCCAGTCGCCCAGGTAGTTGATGTGACGCGCGAGACCCCACCAGCCGGATATCATCAGTTTGGATCCAGCGGCAGTTTCGATGTACTTGATGTTCTTCACACGGGGGTCATTTGGATCCGTGCGGAAACGGTTCTTCTGGTTATTGGCGCCGCGGAAGATCAAATATCCAACGGTTGTGATACCCAGAACAACAGCCATACCGCTCAGGCCAAGCTCGTAAGGGAAGACAGAGAGATACCGGGTCTGGATACTGTACACATGAGGCACCCAAACCACGTCACCGAAAGACAACATGAATCCGAATCCGTCCATGATTACATCCATGGTGGTCATGATTGCTGGCTCCATGTATAGCGCATCCAGGATGTAGAATGCCTGGAAGACAGTGACCAGCACGATCGAGTCAGTGATGTAGCCATAGGTTCGGTACTGGTGGGCCACATTGGACAGGTTCAGGAATTGTCCACCCAAGCAAGCCTGGTCTCATCTCCATAAACACCTTGATATCGATGGTGCGCGATGCCTCGCTGACAAATGGAATGGGCAGGCGAACACGGGGGTTGAGTTCACGGCCGATGAAGAAGTCGTAGAGCATGTTGCCCGTATGGCCGCCAGGTGCCAGCTGTCGTAGGCTTGGAGTTGCCTGGCCCGGGGCTGGAACTGTGAAGCTCTTCATGTAGACAAACAGCGCGATAAAAGAAGAGATCAGTATGTTTGCTGTAATGACCTGAACGTAGTTGTCCCATAGGAATGTCCACACCACAAAGTCGGCTCCATAGAGATAGGTGCCCCCGGCGAGGCCCGAGAGAATAATGATGGCAGAGGGGAATGCTGTTTAATGCGCCGAGTCAGATAACAAATTCTTATAGTTGAATGCGATGTGCGAGAGAAAGGGCTGTCATTGCCATACCATTGAATTTGTACTTCAGCCGTCCTCCGCAGGCCAGCACAACACCGTCTGCCTCCTGACCGGGAAGGAAGACCTGCAAGAACAGGCTGAAGGCATAGTAGCTCAGTGTCCACAGTGTAACATTGGTGTCATAAAGCGCCGTGACTCCCTGCTCTGGCCAACCCACTTCACGCTTCAATTGCTCGAGCGACAAAGTTGAGGGGTTCAGCAACGATGGTGCAGGACAACCAGAGACGTCGTTGCAGACAAAGGTGAAGACATAGATCAGGATCGGCAGTCCAAACACGATACCGAAAGCACCTAGTCTATTGCAAATGTCAGCTTAGCTTAGCTCGAAGGTGGAAATACATACGGTCCACCAAACTCATAACCGCGTTTCTCCGGCACTGGCTGCACGGGTATTTTTTTGGAATCCTTTTCAGCCATGTTGAAGTAAGGAGCCAATGGATAGACAAGGAAATAATCCAGGGACTACCCGTGGGGGAGTAGATCCTTAAATAAGTGCCTGGTGCCTTAGAATAATCGCGTACGACGTCGGATGGTGGGTGTTCCGCGAGATTTGCTCCACCCCCAGTCACACCTGTGGGCAAGTGATGCTACGTAAGCCTCTCCTCAGCCCTGCAGTAACCAACATACCCCATACACTTACCTATCTCCTTCACACCAATTCATGAAGGTCATTTCTGTCATCTCTCAAATTATATCTCTTTCTCTAGCCTTCCCACATTCATTATCCCACCTGGGCATTTCATTTCTTTCCGCTCCGAGAGTGCCTTGGGTTGACCCCAACACAGCCCACCATGAAGCTCACTAGCTCCGCTCATTACTCTATTTTCCTTCTATCGTCAATCCTCGGATTATCTAGCGCATCATATCCTTCCCATTTGGTAGATGACGCTCCCTGTGTTGCTCGCTCCCCGACCACCGGGTTGTACTTTGACCTCAATGCGATCTCATTATCCCCGCCCGAAATGAAGGATGGCCACAAACTCTCGAAAGATGCGCGGGACAACAGCTGGTATGCCAAGGGTCATGACTACCCGGCCAATTTCACCATCAACATTTGCGCGCCAGTCATTGAGAACGTGACGGACGTGGTCGGGATAGAGTCGTCGCGGTGGAAGAATGTCAGTGCATATTACGAGCGGGATAATAAAAGATACTCCATAGGGTATGGCAGATCCCCTTCCCAACCGGTCGCACTTGTTAGATTCACTCCCTGTTTATTGTGCTAATGATTCTCGGTCATATATAGGCAACAAGCATCTGAACCTTTCTTCCGCGGCCGCAAACTTGTCCTCAATTATACCAATGGATCGCCTTGTCCGGACGCCTATAATATGGGCAGTTCCAATGTCTCTACGCGCACTAAATCGACTATCATGTCTTTCCTTTGCGACCGCGACGCTGCGCCAAATGTGGCCACACCTTCCTTCGTCGGCTCCATGGATGAATGCTCGTACTTCTTCGAAGTCCGCAGCTCGGCGGCATGTGGTGGTATCGCCGTGGATCCCAACGCTGGCGGTTTGGGACCGGGCGGCGTATTCGGTGTGATGTAAGCACCCCTTTCTGTCTGTTGGAGGAACACCCAATATAATCCATGCTGACCCTGTCCTCTAGTATGGTGATCGCCATCGCCGTATATCTGATTGGTGGCTGCGCGTACCAACGAACGGTCATGCATCAACGTGGCTGGCGCCAGTGCCCGAACTTCAGCCTGTGGGCTGGCGTTTTCGACTTTGTCAAAGTAAGTATCCTAGCATTGATTCCATGTTGGCCTCGTCGCAGATACAGATATGGCAAGTTTGTGTCACATAAGTTCCGGGATTCAAATGGGGCAGCACTACCTGTTTCAAGGTTGGATTGAGTTCGCTCTAGCTGCTCTGGAGACCAATCGCTTCAGGGAAGACAGTTGCGTTGGCCTGTTCCATTGATTTCCTTGTTTCTTGTCGGGCGTAAATCATTCCTTTTTGCACCTTTCCTTTGAATTTGACTCTTTGGGTATTTCGGCCGCCTGTGTTGACCACGGCGTGTACATTTTCATATGCTTGACAAGATGTCTTGATTTGTGCAAGTGGACTGTCCCTCGGGTACTTCTCAATGGACCTGTCATTTTATCTTTGGCATCCCTGGGTAGGAGACAGGCTCTTGCATAGTCACTGTCTCTCTTATTTCATTAGAATGGATCGCGTGTTCTACTGCGTGTACTTTGTACTTAAATGATCGATTGCAGTTGCGGGCCTCATTGTTCGGAACATGACGCTGACCACTTCTTCCTTTCTGCACCAACAGGACATGTTCGTGATTATCTTTTCTTCGCTGGGAAACCTTTTCCATTGCAAGCGATCCCCCGCGGGCAGTGGCTACACCCGTGCGGACTCGAATGGCCGTGGCGGTTTCATCGGCGCCATTGGAGGGCGGGGAGCACGCGGTCAGGGACGTGACGTTGATGCTGAGAACAGGCTCATAGATCAACTAGATGAAGAGTGGGATGATTAACCCTGGAATGGATGGTTTTCCTCGTCTTATAGCGACTTGTGTTTCCTATACCCTTTCCCTACACTCCTTATCGCAACTATGGCCACATTTTCTTTCTCGGATTCAAACAATAAATTCCGAGACCTTTCTTCTTGTCTGGTTATCTGTAACGCAAATATGTTCTATGTTATCCACGGACAGTTTGTAGTCATTGCCTACCTTGGCTGTTGATATATATATCATACTGGAGCCATATACCATCTCAACTTGTTCATATTGATATACAAAGTTGTCCAAATGTGAGCAGAATCAGTACTAAATTACGAATTAAGCCGTTCACTGTATATCTACCCATTTCAATTGCGCGTACCTATTCTGTACTTCATCCTATTTCGATGTGGATGGTCGACATCAGCGTCTAGGGAACATAGTCTCCACAACGCACGGTAAACCATACAACTAGCATCATTGGTCTAGTGGTAGAATTCGTCGTTGCCATCGACGAGGCCCGTGTTCGATTCACGGATGATGCACAATAATTTCTTTTTTTCGTATTCCAATTGCTAAATTCATTTTTTGGTCTAGGAAGAAGTCGATAGATTTCTTTCCTAGATCATCAGAATCTTTTACAAAATGCCCAACCCAAGAAAACCAAGCCATTAAATGTGGATTCTCTAGAAAAGGTAGATAAGAAGGGGATATACATTGGAGACGAGGCAAGAATATTTACACAAATCAACAGAATGGGGTGATAATATGAACAGCAGCGCGAAAGTAGCAGATCCCAATTCCAAAAGTCCGACTCCAACCTTTTACAATCATAGTAAAGAAAACTCAAACACCACGTAGCAGTCATTGTGAGAGTGTCAGATAATACCTGGCCTGATCACGGCCGTGAGGCTTTCATGTTTGAACCAGTCAAACCAAGATCATATGCGCTTAAAGACATGCCCCCAGCACCCCCAAAGCCAGATATATCTACCGAAGGTACCCCGGATGGTGTACCGCCGCGATTGTTTCCCCCAGGTATGGGAGCAGGGGGTGGGGCTTGTGATGGTGGGTTCCCGCCGCCAACAGGGTCAAGATTGAACGGCAGGAACCACGCGCTGGGCTGGTAGAACTCGCCCATTCCAGCAGGGGCGCTTGGGTCCAGATGGCCGGTGAACAGTGATTGATCTGGATTTTGCGTTTCAACGCCATTGAGCGGTGGGATAGGAGGGTTGTTCGGGACGAATGAGGTGGGGTCGAATTCGGAAAATGAACCGTAGACGAATTGCCGGTCTAGTTGCGGTAATTGGTCTGGTGGGATACTGAAGTCGAACGGTGGTTGGCCGAAGGACATTGGCCGGGATTGTTGGAACATGGATGGCTGTGGGAATGCACTGCCCGGAATGCCCGGGGTGTTTCCCATGGGCACTTCCATCATTGACGGCGGTGAAGTCTGGTCCATACCTGGGGCTCCATCTGATAGCTTGCTGTTCTTGCGAGATCGCGATTTGCGGGGTTGACTTGGCTGTGGAGTAGGGGAGAGGCCGGCAAAGAAATCTTCCACGCTCTGGAGGTCGGGTTTCTGGCCCATGACCGCGTCTTCGCCCGTTTCTCTGTGTCGAGTATCTGGGTCCTCCCAATGCATTCTTGACACTCCATGCGGATACTTGTCAAACCAGTCACCATATTGGAACATGGGTGTTAGCGATGCGCCATTCTGAATAGCCACAGAGCCCTTGATAGCTGCATCGGCGAACTGCCGGTACCGATCCTTGGCACTCTCGACCATATAGTGGAACATGCCCCAATACTTTTTCATTTTATTGAGATAGCGGTACGTATGGCGGAGGTTTTCTTTTGACCGTGCCTCCAGCTGGACATTCTTCGAGAAGATCCCCCAGATGTGGACTGTACTCGCCGAGTAAGCGCAATACCCTGCAAAAGGAACAGTGAGGGGATAGGCTGAAGCTCGATCAAAAAGGACTGAAATGTGATGCGCTGCTTCTACCGCGGCTCGACCTGCATTACTGAGGAAGGCCTTGGGCATATCTCTTGGTGGACGGCCCCCCGGAGACAAGGGAATGGCGAACTGATTGAGAAACAGCATGTTTTGGTGTATGATGATGTGGAGGAAAATGAACTGATTTGCAATCTTCTCCGCTGCATGGATTTGAAGATTCTCGTAGGTGAATGTAAAAGGCCCCGGAAGAGACGCAGAGAACTCCTCAATCTGCCGCTTAAGCTGCATGTACCCTGACTCTGGATGCCAAAGTGGATGTGTGTCCTTTCTCTTTCCACCTAGATTTAGGTAGTCGACAATGCGCCCCCAAATGACGATAGCGCGAATAATGTACGCTGAAACACCCATGTTTTCTTTAGCATTAGATAATTGGCCTGAATCTTCGGGTACGGGATTAGGGATATCGCCGTCAAGATCTTCCGTTGGACCAGGAATCTCCATCTGAAAGTGAGGCTCCTTGATAGGGAGCTGTATTTGTAGGAATTTTTCATTCCCAATAGGCGGCCGTTGACTTCCGGAAGAGTTATACCGATCCATCAAGTAACATGCCCACATAGTCCGGCGCCGGATTTCTTGATCAGTGAAGCTCAACTGTGAGCCGTTGCCATTCTGCTGGCTGAGTAATGAATCCTGATCAAGCTCCTGATGGAGCTGCAACGCGTATGCCATCCGTAATGCTTGACCTCCAAAAGACCAACTTCGTCCACCATGACAGGTTCCAAACTCATGAAGACCAAGAAGTAAGAAAACCGTAAGAATGGTAATGTTCGGCTCGTCATGCCGGCTCAGAGCGATGGCCGCAGCGGGATTAGCCCAGTTTTCTCCACGTAAGAATGGCGGGTCAGAGTTGAGCTGAGGGTGTGTAGAGAAACGTGCGGATACGGCACAGACCGCAAGAATTAGGACAGGGGGAATTGTGCCTGCTTTAAGTCGCCGCATAAAGCTGGGTTTGTGTAATAAGAGGTATGACTGCCCATAGACACAATCAAAGAACACCTCCGCAAGATGCTCCTGAATCTCCAATGAGGGTAAAAACTCGGCTCCTTCGGTGAGAAGCCCAGTCCCATCGGTGGATTTGCCTTCGCGATTCATAGGGAACGTCTCGTGTGGCGGGCGGGCGTTCCCACGGGTCCATTCATCCATTTCTGCCGCAAATGCCTCCTCCGCGCTTCGTTTCTTCTGCGCCTTTGACGGCTGAACAGAGGCGGAAGGCTTGACAACCGATCTTCCAATAGAGAGCATATCCCTCGTCTCCTCCTTGGGTATTGTCTTGATTACGCGATCTTCCATCCTTTTCAGTCGCTTGTCCAGCATAGCCATATAATCCGTGCGCGGCGCCGCCTTCCGAGTAGTAACTTTATACACGCACGGAATTCTCGAGCGCGTACAATGTTTGCAGGCAGGCTTCTCGCCCGAGCAACGGATTTTCTTGCGGCGGCATGCGATGCATGCCAGCGGCAGGCGCTTCCGCTCCTTCCCGGCCTTCGTCTTCATCTCACTCCAAGCCGGTTTATCTTCGTCGTTTATATGTTCAAAATTGGACGGGCCATTGCCAGTGTCGTCTCGTTGGTCTAGCGTGCCGTTGTCCGGGCCTAGCGCGGGGTCGACTGCTTGTGTGCTACCGGGGTCACGGGAACTCGCATGGCTTTGGGTATCGAAGTCTTCGAGAGCTGCTGCTGCCTTCTCCTGGCCTAGGTCAAAGCTGACACCAGGGGTTTTTGATGGCGATTTGTCGGAATCGCGTTGGATCATGACGGGTGCGGATACCCCAGGACCCAGGCCCGAAGCATCCTTCGGCACGGTCGGGAACAAAAGAAGACGCTTCCGAGATGGAGCGCGAGTTCGTCCAGGGGAAGTAAATTTTGAGTGGAATTTGAAGAGCGAGTAAGCGGAAGGAGAGCCGGAATTGAGAAAGTGAAGTTGCCCCGAATATGGGGAAAGGTTCAGCGGCGAATCGCGGCTTGGCAAATACTTCGGCCATTGGCGGCGCCGATATTACGGAGGCTCAACCACAATCTTTCTATATTGGAGAATGAAGAATCAATGAAGTATACTGTAGCTCAGAGGTTTGAAGCAGAGGAAAGTACACGCGCAATCGGTTTGAGGTTATATGTCGGATCTGGAGTCCAAGGAGTAGGAATATATTTCGCAACCCAACTCCACTCGAGTCATGAATATCAAAACTGGCTCCAGACTATTACTATCCGCATGCATACGTATGTATACTGATAGTATAATGTCCGGCTCCCTCAGGAACGGACCCGAACGCCTAGGACAGTAGGACAGTAGGACAGCCGGATTGGCAGCTGGGCTGGCGCACCGGAAGCTTTACGAAGGACTAGGACTACCTAGGTAGCATGCAGCTACGCCGTATGTGTCAGGGGGATCCTTATTGAGTGGCCAACAAAAATAAATATTCATTAATCATCTTGAGTGCATTACAGAAGCAGACCTTGTTTTTCCTTAAACTACATGTAGCCATCTCTAAATACCACCTAGCGATAGATAGGTTGAAGTCGTCTGATTTTTTTCTCAAGCACTCTCGCTATCATCATTGCACACGTCGAATTTCTGTATGCAGGCTATTCACTAGTTTGCACCACTGATCCTAGGTCGATTTAGGGCGTCCGACCTTCTGGCGCGGTGTTGCGAGCTCAAGCGAGTTCAGAATCTCGTCTCCAAGAACATAGATATTGTAGCTGGGAAAGACGAGCCACAACCCACTAACTAAAATTAGTTTTATGTTTCGTGTAAACATACACTTGAGAACTCACTTTGGGAGGATCCAGTAGAAGAAGAGAGCGAGCGGTTCGTTATGACCGATGTTCTCGAAGCCAGAGAAGAACTCGTTGAGCCCTATTTTTTGTGTTATAATCTGACACACAAAGCCCGGGAAATGGATATAGCTTACAGTAAAGGATAGTCTTGCTCAGGGTCATGACAGACGCGGTATAGGCGACCAGAAGCGCAGTCGCCCCAATGCGCCCAGCTACCACCTTGTCCCCCTTCAGCAACCAGGTGAATCCCTTGGAGGTCTTCCGCGATCCGCCACCTCTCCCAATCGTCGAACCATGGTGGTAGACAATCCAGAGGTAGTAGATGTAACCGATGGTCTCAAGGATATTGAGCATAGTCTGCGCAGCAGTGAAGCCATTATGCGCATTGAAGGCGGGCCATCCATAGATATAGTCGACCTTTCCGTACAGCGCGTAAGGGGTCCAGATGGGAGAGTGCAGCCTTCCACCCGGCATGCTATGTGGTCGTAACAAGACGTAGCCCGTGTCCCAGATCACCAAGGGAACTGAAAAGACGAGCCAGATTGTCAGCGCAGCGGCGGGCGTATGGGTCCATTTGCGCGAATTGGCGCTGGTGGTAGCTGGAGGTAACTTGGCCAGCTCTTTCACGGCCTCAGGTGAGGGGAATTCGCGGGGATGGTGTCGAGTGGAGACCATGGTGGAAGGGTCTGGGGTACAACAATGTGAGTAGAAGAGATTCAAATGCAATTTTGATGATATTTACTGTGAGAGGGAAGAAAAGGTCCAGGTAGAAACTACGAATCGCAGAGAGAATGCCAGGGGTTACAGCTCAGGCGCGACTGACGGCCAATGACGTCGAGGGTGATCGTTTGCCATCTGCATCCGATGGCTATTTGCCTCTCGCTCTCTCGCTTTCTTGTGGAACTGAGTTGGAAAACTGACTGAAGGTTTTATAAATTCCATGAATCCCTTCAAGATACCTAGGTAGGCTTAGTTGTGGGTGACATAGCGGGGTCTCGATATGCTCTGGTACTGTTCTAGGAACGTCCTTCCTGCTAAGGGCGATTATGTATCAAGCACACAACTATATACATGTATGTATCTATGTATCTATGTACATATATGTATAGATTTAGGGATAATTAAGGAGAATTTAATACGTATTCAAATAACGTTGCTCTATGAAATCGAATTAATGCTATATAATTCGGTTCTAAAGCAAAGTGCACGTGACCGTGAAATAACAGCCATAAAATTCAGGCAACAAAGCGATTTTCTCCGAACTCGAAATTTTAAGGAGGCAATGTCAAACTGTCTGCCACCACACCTGTCATACCACAACTCATTCCAATGAATGCTTTGTGTGACAAGTTTGACTGATAGGGAGCCCAGTCATGCTCTACATTGGGTCAGCAACCGATGGATTCAACGAAAGACCAGAAGGTCAGTCGCATCTGTTCAAGTAGTTGGAGCCAACATGAAACCTAACTGGGCATAGAAGGATGCGGAGCGACTCGCGCGGGTTCGTGAGAACCAGCGCAAGAGTCGAGCCCGGAAGCAGGAGTACGTGAATGAGTTAGAGCAGCGTCTAGCAGTGTATAAAGAACAAGCCCACCAGAAAGACATCGAGCACCGCCTGGCAACGCAAAAGGTCGAAGCTGAAAATCGGCATTTGAGAGCTCTTCTGGGATCACTGGGAGTTTCGAGTGCTTCTGTCCAGCAGTATCTGCAGGAAGCGGACACGGGAGCAAACATCAACCGGAAGGTTGCTATTCCCGCCATTCAGCGAGTAGAAGGAGAGAACCCTCTGTCCCTATCGCGCCGGGATGCTCGCAGATCAAACTTGTCAATGGCAGTACCTCGCGTCTACAAAGAGGAACCGGAGACAACTGAGCCAGCAGCAGCAGTCAGTAGTGCATGTTCCTCGACAGTGGCGCAACCAACGGATCAGCCAGAAGCTGTCAGGAGTGCATGTTCCTCGACAGTGGTGCAACCAACGGATCAGCCAGAGGTAGCCAGGAGTGTATGTGCCTCGACAATGGTACAATCGACAGAACAGCGAGAAGCAGTTAGGAGTGCATGTGCCCCGGCAGTGGTGCAACCAACAGATCAGCCACCAAAGCAAACGCCACAAGAAGAAGATCCGGCTTTATGTGGATGCCGATCCGACAGGGAGAACCCGGAAACGGTATCTGATGAAGACGTGCTCAATTCGACGCTGTGTGCCATTGCAGAAGAAATGATCAACCAGTACAACACCAAAGGAGTTGACGTTGATGAGATCCGACGAAGAATTTGGTCTGGGTTCCGAGCAGGTGCAAATGGCACAGGCTGCAGAGTTCAAAATCACATTTTGTTCCAAGTGCTAGATGATATCAGCAGTGATGTTTGACTTTGGCATTGGGTTGGATTCCACAGCCATTTGAGATATTAGTATTTGAATGAATCTGCTAGTTCCAGCTCTGTCTTTGAATTTGAGCAAGGCGATGAAGATTGGGGACTACAGTTGTTAGCAAGAATCTCTTTCGGCCCTATCATTTTGTCATCTGCAGCAGTGAGCACAAGTTTGGTCCAGATCCCGGCAACGACTACTAGCGACTACTAGAACAGCTGCTTTGTTCCGCAGCACGGCTCCTCCGCCTCGGATCCCGAATAGGACGATTTTATGTGAAATTCCCGCCCAATATGTGGGACCACTCTATGCCGACAAGCCCGTGTAGGATATTTTTCCGGCCCGACCTCACGCCTAGACGGTAAAATGGCAACAATAACCAGACTTGCAGGCCTACGACATAAATGCGAGATTAAGGAGAGCCACGTTTCGCGAGCAACTCATAGCCATGGCACTGGCTTTGCCAATGACAAAGATGCATGCTATATTTTCTGATGTAGCATCACAGCCCACTACTGAATCAATGAAAATCACACGGTTAAAGTCGCATGCACTTAAAAAAGCACAAGCCCATATCGCTAATATGCCAAACCAAATGGCACCCGCACGAGCCCCCGGACTGCCGAATCTCCGGCAGAAACATTGGAACTCAACAGTATTAAGCCGTACCACCGACAATTAGCCGTAAAAAGGGAAAAAATGCCTGCTCAGCGGTGCATTCCGTGATGGATCAGCGTGTTCCCCATATAAAGTTCTCCATATTGCGGGCAGTAGAGGGGAATAGCCGGATACTTTCAAGCGTAACGATACGGAGCAGCATTTAGCCGTCAAAGTTTGACTTGCATGAAGTGAAAACCGCTGAGGATATGTGAGAGTATGTCTATGTTGTAAGCCTACAACAGAGGCTGGCAGTTTAGCCTGAGTCGGGAGATCGGGGATATGGGGATTTTGTCCGATGCTGGGGCATAAGTGCGGGCCATTTTCGGTGGGGGACCGAGTACAACGTATGCAGCACCCGAGCGATATAAGTTTCCATTGGGCAGCCATTAACACTAAAACGCAAGTACAATCCCCCGGACATAATACTGGCCCGATCGAGAATGCGCCGACTTGGCCAAGTTTTGACCCAGTCCGATATTGATTTGCCGCCTTGGCACTCCAAGAAGTCTCACGATCCGAGCCATATCTCATATGTAATTTTTAGCCAAGAAATAGCGTAGATAAATCACAATTAATCGCGCAAGCCGTCAGAAATCTCGGAACTGGAGTCGGCATCCCTGAGTTCGGAGTGCGGGGATCCCCGCACTCCGGTTTCCACGGCAGCGAAAACGCTTAGTTGCGGATGGCGTTGTGAACCAAGACATTTGTGTAGATGGACAAAGCAGTTATGTTGGAGAGCAAATCCTACAACATATTGTTTAGAAGTCGGAAACATTGAATGCATGGGATATCTTGTAATGGGATACTTAAGAAACAGTCCACCTGGGCAGGTCTCAAGGTCTGTTTCCCCACACTCTGTGATCTAATGAGAAGAGGAATTCCCCATTAGGCAGGAAGAGCGGTGATCTGGTGAACATGAGAAAGTGGTCAGATCAGGTCAGATCAAAATCTCGGAAGTCACCTTGTTTATTACTTGATCACTCTCACCTGAACCAAAATGATTGAGTGATAGCCGATGCCAATATGTGTAGTTGTACTCTGCATACCACAACATAAGAAGAAGTTGAACGGTTAAATTCACCAAAATCTATTGTTGAAATACAAAGTAACCCCACGGAGAATTAGAATTAGCGGGGAAAAGGCGCGAGCGTGGTGGTACGGTAGTCACGATGCGAAATGCCGACGTTTAGCCGTTCTCGCATACGAAATCGAAGCAAGGTGATGTATTAAAGGAGAACCAATAGTTCTGGAGTGTATAATGTGTCTCAGAGGGAGTGGCTGGGTAATGCCCAGTGATTCTGGGACATTGGGAAAGGGGGATTGACTTCTCACCCTGTCTACATATGTTACTTATCCCCTCTCCCAGCCACTGTACAGAGTACCTTGTGTCCCCTTTCAAGGATGAGTATGTCTCTAACCTTAGAGTAAGAAACAGTGGCCAATCATAGAACACGATGTAACTTGATTAGTGGAATAGTGCATACTTTGTCGATCTTTTCCTCCATTTTTTGACTTCATTTTGTGGAGAAAAATAGTGTACGGAGTACGGAGTACATGCACACTACAGCCCCTGCGAGCAGTAAACATCCGTATATTTAAGGTCCTAGTCTTCCCCTCCCAGAACTGTGTGACTCGTTCCTTCCTTACGCCCTCTTACTTCAAACGCTCTTTTTGTGCTGTCTCTGTGAAATCCTTTCCAGCACTTTCACAGTAATGAAGTTCGCGTGGTTTGAGGTGGTCGCCTTGACGGCCTCGGTGGCCAATGCGAATGTGAGTCCAATTCAAATCGTTTAATAATATCGATGCTAATCAAGTCGCGTCAAAACAGTCCCTGGCCGATTCTCCTCCATACTATCCCTCCCCATGGATGACTGGCGAGGGCGACTGGGCCGAAGCATACACACGCGCCGTCGAATTTGTCTCTAACTTGACACTGGCCGAGAAAGTCAACTTGACAACCGGTTCTGGCTGGATGCAAGAACGATGTGTTGGTGATACCGGTGGCATTCCCCGACTTGGCATGTGGGGAATGTGTTTGCAGGACGCACCATTGGGTATACGCTTTAGTAAGATTGCTCATCCCGAACAACCTCGGAAGCTTGGCGGTGCAGTTAACTAATGGAACTCGAACAGGTGATTACAACTCCGCTTTCCCGCGGGTGTCAATGTTGCCGCAGCATGGGACAAGCGACTCGCCTACCAGCGAGGTATGGCAATGGGCGAGGAACACCGCGACAAAGGTGTGGATGTGCAATTGGGTCCTGTTGCTGGCCCTTTGGGGAAGTTCCCGGACGGTGGTCGTAACTGGGAAGGCTTCTCGCCTGACCCCGTTTTGACTGGTGTGATGATGGCCGAAACCATCAAGGGTATGCAGGATGCTGGTGTCATTGCTTGCGCTAAACATTTCATTGGAAATGAGCAGGAGCACTTCCGCCAGTCCGGCGAGGCTCAGGGATACGGATACAACGTCTCCCAGAGTTTGAGCTCAAACATTGACGACAAGACTATGCACGAACTGTACCTCTGGCCCTTCGTGGACTCCATCCGTGCTGGTGTTGGCTCGGTTATGTGCTCTTTACAATCAAATCAACAACAGCTACGGCTGCGCAAACAGCTACTCCCTCAATAAGCTGCTCAAGGGCGAGTTGGGCTTCCAGGGCTTTGTTATGAGCGACTGGGGTGCGCATCACAGCGGCGTCGGATCTGCTCTGGCCGGTCTGGATATGCTCATGCCCGGTGATGTCATTCTTGGTAGCCCTTACTCCTACTGGGGAACCAACCTGACCATCTCCGTTTTGAACGGTACCATGCCTGAATGGCGTGTCGATGACATGGCTGTCCGCATAATGTCTGCTTACTACAAGGTTGGACGTGACCGCTTCCGCACTCCTCCCAACTTCAGCTCCTGGACCCGTGATGAGTACAACTTCCAGCACTCCATGGTCAGCGAGGACTGGGGTAAGGTCAACGAGCGTGTAAATGTCCAGCGTGATCATGCCCAGATCATTCGCAAGATTGGCTCTGACAGCACTGTCCTGCTCAAGAACAAGGGTGGCGCACTGCCGCTTACCCACAATGAGAAGTTCATCAGTATTCTGGGAGAGGACGCAGGCTCTAATGCTTATGGCGCCAATGGCTGCGATGACCGTGGTTGTGATAACGGAACTTTGGCCATGGGCTGGGGTAGTGGAACTGCTAACTACCCATACCTGATTACACCCGAGCAAGCCATCCAAAACGAAGTCCTGGAATACAGCAACGGGCAGACCAACGTCTTCGCTGTGACTGACAACTGGGCTCTCACCCAGATGGCTGCCCTTGCTTCCCAGGCTGATGTTGCCCTGGTTTTCGTGAACGCCGACTCTGGCGAGGGATTTATCAACGTGGACGGCAACGAGGGTGACCGCAAGAACCTGACTCTCTGGAAGAACGGCGAAGAGGTGATTAAGACTGCTAGTCAACACTGCAACAACACTATCGTCGTGATCCACAGCACATCCGCCGTTCTGATTAGCGATTGGTATGACAATGACAACATTACCGCCATTATCTGGGCTGGCTTGCCAGGCCAGGAGAGCGGTCGCAGCTTGGTGGACGTACTGTATGGTCGCATCAACCCCGGCGGTAAAACTCCATTCACCTGGGGTAAGACTCGCAAGGACTACGGCCCTCCTCTTGTCACAGTGCCCAACAACGGCGCCGATGCTCCTCAAGATAACTTCGAGGATGGCGTCTTCATTGACTATCGCCGTTTTGACAAGGACAATATAGAGCCCATTTACGAGTTCGGTTACGGTCTAAGCTACACCAAATTTGCCTTCTCCGACCTCAAGGTCACCCCTCTTGTCTCATCCCAACACGGCGAATACAAGGCCACCACTGGAAAGAGTCAAAAGGCTCCCGTTCTTGGCGAACCTAGCACAGTCTCAGATAATCTGTTCCCTGAGGGAATTAAGCGCGTCCGCCAGTACCTTTACCCGTGGTTGAACTCCACCGACCTGCGTGCCTCGTCCGGTGATCCTGACTACGGCATGGACTCGAAGGACTACCTTCCTGAGGGTGCTACCGATGGTTCTGCCCAGGACCTTCTCCCCTCCAGCGGAAGTTCCGGCGGCAACCCTGGTCTGTTTGAAGACCTTTACCAGGTGACCGCGACTATCACCAACACCGGCGCTGTGACTGGTGATGAGGTTCCCCAGTTGTACCTTTCCCTCGGCGGCAATGATGACCCCACAAAGGTCCTACGCCAGTTTGACCGAGTCACCATTGCCCCTGGCCAGAGTCTCCAGTGGACTACCACCCTGACCCGCCGCGATGTCTCCAACTGGGATGTTGCCTCCCAGAACTGGGTTATATCGGGCGCCCAGAAGAAGGTGTATGTCGGCAACTCATCCCGCAAGTTACCTCTTTCGGCCGACTTGCCCTCGGTTGAGTAGATTTTTCTTGTTCTGGAATGAAAGCAGGAGGATAGACATGCCCGCATGAGTCATTTGATGTTGTACAGCCAGCATTGCGTTTTGCACATAGTTTTTTATTTTATTTTTTTTCTCTAAAGGCATGCCTCCTGTGACTAATTTCATAGTTAATGAGACATATTAATATTTTTACCCAATCGGTTTACATAAACATAAAATTGTACACCTGCATACACCCGATGTCGTGATCTATCGGTTACAGCGGTCAGACAATAGCCTATCTGCAAAGTCGTACTTTGACTGGGACATAAAAGCCAGACATCCATTCGATCTGCCTCTCACACCTATCTCCACCACAAATTCAACCACCGACAAACCCATAAAATGCAAGCCATCCGTGTACACCCAGCACCACCCTCCGCAACACCCTATTCTCCAACCAACCCCGCTCCAACAACAGCCCTCCACAATGATAAAATCCCCATCCCAACCCCGACAGCCCCAAACCAGCTGATAATCCACATCAAAGCAACAACCATAATACGCGACATGCTCACATGGCCCGAGACATACCACCAACCCTACACAATCCCGGGCCACGACTTCTCAGGAACGGTAGCATCGGTCTCCCCGGGTTCAACAACAACCCTTAAACCCGGCACCGCCGTCTTCGGCATGACTTCTGCAGACCGCGGCTCAACATGGGCATCATACGCGCTCGTCACGACCGACGAAGTCGCACCCAAACCAGCCGGTCTCGGGTGGGAAGAGGCTGCGGCATTACCGCTTAGCGCGCAGACGGCGTACGAGGCGCTCTTTGTTCATGCGGGCCTTCCGCTTCCGGTTTTGGGCGGGAGTGCGCAGTTGGAGGAACAGCATCGTCAGGAGCAGGATTATCAGCATGCTCGTCAGTTGAAACAGCGTGTGCTTGTCACCGGTGCTGCGGGTGGGGTTGGGATTTTCCTCGTGCAGCTTGCTGCTTGTGCTGGGATGCATGTTGTTGCGGCTAGTGGGTCTGTTGCGAGGAATGGGGAGTTCTTGACAGATTTGGGGGCTGACGAGGTTGTTGAGTATGCGGATTTGGAGGGCCAAGAAGGTCGGTTTGATGTTATTGTTGATTCGGTTGGTGGGGAGGTGCTGGAGAAGTGTTGGGGGTTTGTGAAAGAGGGAGGTGTTTTGATATCAGTTGATTCGGCGAGCTTTGATTTTGTCGAGGCTCATGCGAAGCGTGGGTTGAGGAGGGATGGGATTAAGGCGTTGTTTTTTATTGTTGAGGGAAGTGGTGAGGTCTTGCACGCGCTGAGTGAGTTGACGGCGAGGGGGGAGTTGCGGTCGTTTGTTGCTGCTAGTTTTGGAATTGACCATGTGCAGGAGGCCTATGATTATGCTAATGGGAGGTTCGATGGTCGAGGGAAAGTTGTGCTTACAGTTTAGATTCACTTACCTAGGTACCTAGATAAATCTATGAGTACTGTGGCAAGTCCAACTCTAACAGAATTCCATGCATCTACATATTAAACCATCCTATACAATTTCCCCTGCCCAAGCTATCGTAACACATCCGTGGTGACCGTAGTGGTTCTGTCTGTAGCTGAGTAGCCCATTTCTCGAAGGAAACATCAGCTCGCACAACGTCGGAGATAGCAATTATCGACCCGTATCATAGGTGATTTCAATTTGATAAAGATTTGGATAAAATTGATACGCTGGGAGAGGCCAACGAAGTAATGAGTGCTCATTACACTGTTCCGGTCTCATTGTGAGAGTGTTGGGGCCTTCAGACTTGGTGCAACCATTATAGGGGTGTTCGATGAGATATCTGAGTGTAGCTGACTGTATTTCCTAGACGCAGATGCAGAGGTGCAGATATTCTAATTTTTCCAAGATTTGAAGCAAGGACTTGTGTGCGAGTTCAAGTGTCATAACCGGTAGCAGAGCACAAAATGGTCATTGTTCCATATTAGAGGCAACCGCTGCCTCAGGAGAGCCGAAGAAGCCATCACATGGTTCTTCGTCCTGCTCTTCCAGAACTTGCACTTATTCCGAAAGGCTTAAATCCAACCTGGCATTTTAGCAATACGATTTCAATTTCGGAAAAAAAGATTCGAGTTGTCAAGTTGAATTCATCCTTGCTCGTACTATGTAGAATAGTACATGAGATAAAAGACATGAAGCAATACCATTGTATTAGAAAGTCTGAAATCGTGAAACAAGTCAAGGAAAAGAACTGTATGAGTCCTCTGCTATAGAGAGATAACCATTGTCCAATATGCCCGCCGCACATAGTTGCAAAACATAAATTTCCAGCAGTCTACCACCAAAGGGGTCCAATATCCGTATCACCATTATAGGCTTTCTCTTCAATTGTAGCCGTATGACAGTTGTTCTGCTCAGTTACGCGGCCGCTCTCATTATCTTGGCCAGCGCATGGAGCAGGCAGCTCTCTGATCTGACAGCGACTAATTTGATGAACAGTAGGCGTCGGCAGGGACGAGCGTGACATTATCTTTCTGTAAAGAGCAACTGCCGGGTCGATTATATTCTGGAACTGGCCAATGATCTGGTCTCGCTCGTTGTCCCAGGCGAATACCTTAGTCGTGTACTAAAAGAAAAGTGTTAGCCAATAGTCTGCTGAGACTTCTCTCAAGCACACACGTAGACCAGAGTTTCCAATGTTACCGAGTTACTTACCCGACTTTGATTGGTCAGATGTATGAACACCCATTTCGACCCGTCAGTTATGACACCGTAGATAACTGCGTCCCTTTCTGCGAGCTTACGAGCATGGTAAATATCTGACATATTTTGAAGCAGAGCCCAGCTCCGAGGCACGGGCCTCTCAGACTTCATAACGATCATATTCGTTTCCAGCTACAAGCAGTGACCATACCACAAAATGTAGTCAATAATATCCTCTGGAGCTGGAATTTTGTCGTCTTTCATTTCTCGCGTGAGTATCCGCTTCCGAAAGCTCCAGTGGGGCAATTCCTGGGGCCCATTCGGGATCAAGTGACTCTTTCTTGATATTATCTGCGAGCAGTTCGAGGAAAAGGGACTCTATTCTCACTGGGAACAGCGGATGTGTACTACCCTCCTGAGCGGTGACTAGCTCAAGGTCGTCCCACAAGCACGCTGATTAGTTGTTAGCAAGCAATATCCAACCTTGGAAAACAGCCGGGTGGTTAGCTGAAACTCACAGAGATGATCTGGGGTGCTCCAGGTGTTTCGTGCATTAAGTTGCCTCTTATTCCACCATCTAGTAGGGGAGAGGCCAAAGGCCTCCACTACACGTTGGTGTCCCTTAGTCGTCTTGATTGTTGCACAGTCTTCTTCGATCATTGTAAATGAACTGCGTGGAGTGTTATCAAAGGACCGAGGAAAGAAAAGCTGAATGAAGTTGATGAAGTTGACTGAGAAGTAGAAATTAAGACTCCTAAAATAACTTTAGGAGATGGAGAAGAGAAGGTTCAGAGAAGGTTCAGAGAAGGAAGTATGTACCTACACTGGAGAGGTGCTCACATGACATCTCAATACTCCGTAGTACCTAGGTACATAGTGGGTGGCATATACTTTTCCCTTTTCTAGAAACGGGGCTTACGACCTTGGAACGTTGAAACCTTTGACTTCCAAGGTTCTAAAGTTCATATCCTTCCAAGGTTGAATGTGGTTATATATAATTCTACGCTTTTTGCGGCCTTTTTTTTCAGTTATATGACTGAGAAGGGGGAAGGACATCTAAAATGATATTTAACAAGATATCAAAAAGCCATCTGAGAGTCATCTGAAAGATAAAAAGAATTCCAACGGTAAAACCTCCATGGACAAACCTTACTGTAATAGACCCATGGATACTGGTGTACTAAACCTTTCAAGTGAAGAGTCACACCTTTAAGCCCTGGAGACCTCTTTGTATCTTTCCCAACCTACACATCTTTTTCTCCTTTCGCCTCACATTGAACCCTTATTTACCTAGCCATGGAGAATAGCGTTGATTCTCGAAAGCCGTGGCGCAAAGCTCTCAAACATAGGCTACGTGCTAGGCGCAAAACATTAAAGAAAATACCCACGATTCCCATTACCGACCTAGACTTGACTGAAATTCCGCATCACTTTAACCTCACTCACTCTCTGCCCACCGAGTTCGAACTTTCTCCTAGGGAGACCGAAATGGTCTCCCCTCCGGCTCACTTGAGTAAGTTCGATTGATATGAATCGGTGTTCTAGGTTTACGCTAATTTGTATAGGCTCTATCCTCCCAGACTATGGCATAGCAACCAGCCGCTCACCCCCAAACAAGGTGCTGATACGATCTCGCATTGATGTGATTATCCTGACAGTGCTAGCTAAGGTGAAGCGAGAGTGTGCTGCAAAGCCCCGTAGCTCCATTGCATCAGCCTCTTCCATTGCCTCCGCATCACTCGAGTCTGCTCACCTGCAATTCGCACGCGAGATGAAATTCGTTTGGAAGAGCGGTAAACAACGGGTGAGACTTTCTGGCATCGTTGACTACTCGCTTTGGTACGGCAAGCCTAATGACCATGCCAATATGGTAATGGTTAAAATGGTAACAATGGATCTGTTAAAATTTGGGGTGTATCAATGCCTGGCTTACATGGGTAAGTGATTTTGGTTTACATTGTACGTGGATTAGTGCTGATATGAATAGCAATCATCCACGAAATGAGGAAGCAGGCTAATATTCCAGACACGTCAGTGTATGGAGTTGCAACAGACAGTTCCGAGTGGGTGTTCATCCGGATTCGGCCAAATGGGGAGGTGAGAAATCTTCGCGGAACTCGCTATAGTATTACTAAAGCATTTTCTAGTGGGCAACAAAGTCTTATGACTGGGTGCATAGTCCGCAAGAGATTGTCTCTATGCTGGCCAAGACTCTCGCCCATGCTGCGAGTTTCGATCCTCAAACCGGCCAGAAAAGGTGGTGCCATGAGTCCGAACCAGATTCGTTAGAGCATCCGAAGTTGAAGCGATAGTCACCCGCTACCCCTCCCTGTCCTCTTCGTCAACTATTACCCTATCACTTCGCTATTAGGGAGGATATTGGAGATAGAAATATATTCGGGACATTGGAATTTACCCTCTCCGCAAAAGGCATCCTAAATGCGACGCGACTCTTGCCACCGATGCCGATCCATTATCTAGCCTTAGCTTCTGTTTAAGATATAATTAACGAAGAAGGCTCTTGCTTTGTATTTAACTCACTGAACTGCGGGGTTCGGAGTGATATAATAGGAGCTATCTGACATGGTGAGTCAATCCGTCCTGGTCTCTTCGCTTATATTTACATGACACTTTTGCAAACCCATTTTGATTGTATCCTGGTTTGAATAATGGCGTTGGCCTTTTGTCGCAGATGGGGTCCTTGGAGTACTTCTGTAGCTGGGATTTGAAAGCCGTAACGAGGGGATCATTCTATTCGTGTTAGCACAGATTGCAAGCAACGAGACTTGATAAGGCTGCATAAACGGCCAACAATTTTCATTGATCTGTAACTCGGTTTTTTCTTTTTCTTTTTTTTGGGTTAAACTGTTGTGGAAGTATCTCTGGTTTCAAACCACACGAAAAGGGCTATTCCCCGTCTATTCTTTGGAACTGTCGTGAAACGCCTCCACTAAAGTTCTAAATGCCGATCCCTCTTTTGACAAAAGCACCTTAGGTGTATCGAACTCCACAATTTTTCCGTTTTCTAGAAGAGCAACTTTGTCAAAGTCCAAGACTGTATGCAGCTTGTGCGCAATAGCGATGACGGTTTGATCTTTGAAGTGCGTCCGAATGACGGTTTGCATGAGCGCATCTGTTTCCGAATCCACGCTGCAAGATCTCTTAACAAAAAGTCGTATATCCGTTGCTTTTCCACATACCTGCTAGTGGCCTCGTCCATAATGATGATATTGCTAGACTTGCAAAGTGCTCTTGCAAGGCAGAAAAGCTGCTGCTGCCCATGAGACAGTAAATCATCGGACATATCGATATCCAGCCCTCCCTTGAGTTGAATATGAGACCATAGATTGACTGCTTGTAGGGATTCAACGATTGCTTCGTCAGTTGCATTTCCCTTGGGGTTGGCGTTTAGCCGTACTGTGCCATGGAGGAAAAAGGGTTGTTGCGGAATGGTGTTGATTCTGGACCGGACGTGTGACCTGGAGACTTTCGAAATGTCTATGCCATCGATGAGAATTGTGCCGCTATTCAGTTCCAGTATTCGCAGAATTGCCGAAACAAGGGAGGATTTCCCACTAAAATATAGACCAGTGAGTGTTGATACTGTGAATTCCTGATCTGGGCGACACAAACCTGCCAGTCCTGCCACATAGAGCAATCTTTTCACCGGGCTGAATACTGAGATCAATTCCAGTAAGAACAGGGTCTGAAGCGGTACTGAAAAACTGATTAGCATATATCCGAAGGAATCCAAGAAATCCACAAGAGCATACTCGTAAGATGCTGAAAGACCAGCTATATCAATCCCACCATTCCGAGGCCAGTCTTCGGGAACGGTCTCTGTTTCGGAATCTAAATCCTCAGGGGTGACTTGTCGCACATATGAGCGTATTCTAGCAACGGCCCCAATAGAGGTTTCCAATCCAATCCAGTCTGTAACAAGCATCTGAAGGGTGCCGCTGAAGTTGACAATGTTGAATAACGCGATACCCAATAGATTCATGGAAGGGCTACCCTTCATCGAGATTGCGACAGCGATGACAATGACAGCGATACCGGCCACTATCAAGTCTAGCACAAGACCAATCCAGCGCTGAATGCAATAAAGTAAATAGGAAGGACGTTGTGAAGCATCAAGGGCAATTTGATTACGTCGATGGTAATCCTTGGTCCAGCCATAGGCTCGAATGCTGGAGAGACCGTTGAGGGCTTCTAAGAATTGTGAGAACAAAGGTGCTTTGGCTTCGATGTCTAGCAGACGCATTTGACGAGAGGTCTGGACGTAAAATTTTGCCACGTAGTATACCACCAAGACGCAGACTGGAACCACTGCTGCTGTGATGTAAGAAGAGCCAACAAAGACTAAGAATCCTTCTATCACACAGCTTAGCGCAGCATTGACTGTTAGCTCTAAGGCCGAAGGAAGCTCATCGTCAATGAGTTCGAGGTCTTGGCTAAATCTGCAAGCAAGAAACCAGATCAATAAAATGAGCAAACTATTAAGGAAGGATAACATGCTGACCTGTTTGTGGTGTTTCCGATATCCGTAGAAGTAAGGAAAGAGGCTGTGGCTCTAAATTAAAGGTCAAAACAAGTAATACCTAGCAATTGTTGTTTGTTAATTCTTACCCCATTGTAGTACGCAAGAGAATCTCGTGAAACCGACGGGCTGTTCGGGGCTGTATGATCATGATGAGGATCCTATACAGAGTTAGTCATAGAAGGAAACCCAATTCAAACCAATATTGGAATCATACCAAGTGCCAATAAAGGTTGTTAGAAGTGAGAAGAAACTAAGTGCCGCATATACACCCAACCAATAATAAACATGTTCGTTGGGGTGCTGCTCATTGGCACTAGTCCACCACTGCAGCCAGATTTCTGTATGGATTGTCAGCAACGCGTGGAAACAGATGTTTAGGCAAGTTTGTTGGAGCTTACGAGGAAAGCTGAGGCCGAGAATAAAGAGAACACAGCATGCAAGGAAGATCGACAGAAGAGGCCAGCCGATGTTCTGAAAATAAAACCGATAGACAGTCCAGTCGCCAGTTCGTCGACTTAAATCCGTATGTTGGTCATCCAAGTTCAATTCCCGCAATGTTTCGTCATCCAATCCAATATTGGGAGCTCGGACGGTGTTGACTGGGTGAATATTATTGGAAAACATTCTAATATAGCCATCGGAACCCATGAGATCACTATACGACCCATGTTGGGTGATTCTACCATCCTTATCCAGCGCGATGACGTTATCGGCATATAGAAGATGATGCGCTGCGATAATCAGCTTAATGAATGGCTTGTACAGATATAGGGCGGATACGGACCTGAGTTTGTTCCCATAATTACTGTCTGCCGAGAACGTTTGAGGCAACCATGTTCAGCAAACAGATTCTCTAGAATTATCTTTTCGGTCTCTCGATCAAGACCCGTGAGCGCGTCGTCTAAAACAAGAACCGGCTCTTTCGAGTAAAGAGCTCGCGCAAGCGACTAGAGGGTGTTTGTTATTTTAAGTTCTCTCATGTGCAGGGTTAGAGTTACATACCACACGTATTTGCTGTCCGCCACTGAGACGAGAACCGGAAACGCCGACTTTTGTCTGATCCCCCGCAGGAAGTTGTTTGAAATCGGCTTGTAAAGCGCACGACTTGGTAACCTGGTCGTACCAGGGTCGATCCCATGGCGATGCACCAACAATATTTTCTTGGATTGTACCGAATGTGATCCATGGTGACTGACTACAATATGCGGCATGATTGAAGCTGGTAGAGATCGAGCCAGAACATTCTGGGACCTCCCCCATGAGCATCTTCAAAAAAGTAGACTTGCCACTGCCAACAGCCCCAACAATCATTGTAATCTTGGACTCTTGGATGTCAATGTTCAGGCCTTTCAGTACCGGTTCAGTATCAATTGACCAAGCTGCAGAGACATTTCGAATGATAGCACAAGGTTCGATGTAGTGTTCCCAGGCCGAGGAATCAGTTTCAACCAGAGGCGCTGTAGTAGCACCTTGCGCTGATTGGGAACCCCGAGCATCGTGCTTTAGCCGATAATCAAATCTTTCCGCTTCCATCAAGTGCTTTTGGATCCGCTGAAAGCAATTGACCACTGCCATCAGGTCTTCTGAGCCATTCACAATAGAGCCCATTGGTTGATCCAGTAGCGAAAAGAGTGTTAGCGCAGAAAAGGCCAGGCCGTTCGTCAGTGTAGCTGTGTCATTTGCTCGGGCAAGAATAACATAAACACCAAATCCAAACACCGGGGCCAAGGATGAAGAGGTATACCCTATATAATTAGCAAACTTTTTATCATCTCATAGCTGAAGCTGAACATACCCAGTGTAATACCCAGTGTCTCGTAGAGTCGAAATGGAAACGAAGCATGAATCTCAGCAGATCGCAAATCCCGAAGACTGCCGGAGATGGTTTCGGTCAAGCCTGTTATCTTGATGTTTTTCATAACATCGAGAACTTTTGAGGTAACTGTCACCCGCTCCTCGACAGCCTCGAGCCAGATGCCTTGCGCTTTTCCACAAGCGACTGCCAGCGGTACACCTGCGGCCAAACATACTGATCCATGTCCAAGTCAACCAAAAGGGTCTTCAAAAGAAGAAGAAGAATATTGTAAGGACGTACCGACAACAACCACGGTAGGAGCGATTGTCGCTATATTCAGCAGTCGTGCGAGCAGCCACAAGGCCAACGCAACCTCGGTGAAGTTTGAGTATACCTCGTGCATCTCTCTAAGACCGCTTCCAATTCGTTCGATATCCGTACTCATCAACGTAATGGCAGCAGTATCCGAGATAGCCGTTGTGCTCATCCGCAAAGTTTTGTTAAAGATCAGCGTGACTAAACTTCCTCGAACCATAGTAATAACGCGATATGTCTTGTGCTCGTAAGCAGCATATGAGATCTATAAATGGTACTAGAATTAGTAGAGTTTCCCATCAAGCCATGAAATTTTACATACGGCGATCCCGAGATACACAATGGCGTAGGCGCCGATGAGCCCGTGGCAGCATAGTTAGCGGAGTTAACGTGTTCTGGCTCGGTCATAAAATTGAGTACGCGCTCGACGAGAAATGGCTGCGCAAAGCAAAATCCCGTATATGCAAGCCGGGGTATAACACCCTCGAAAAAGGCCCATTTGTAGTGAGATATGAAGGTCCATAACAGTGAATTTTGATGATACTTGTTGGCTGGAGTCTCGATTAACTCATCGTATGACAAAAGAATTGAAATCTCAAAAGCTCACCTTTGTCCCATCTTTCAAGGAGAGAGCGTGGACTTGAAGCAGCTCTGAGGTCGTTATCGAGAGCAGGAAGACTGTCAACTTTCAAAATATCTTTCGACCCGCGCCAAAGTAGTTCATTCAGCCACCAAAATACAGCGCGATTTAGCACGCCACTGGTCGACTCAATCGGGCTGTTTTCGTATCTCTTTTTCAGCAAAGATCTCTTTTCTGTTGCCTCCAAACTGAGAATGGTCGCTTTGATAACCCATGATATAGCAAAAAGTACTGTCAGAGTTTGACTAGTGGGCATGAAATATAGAGTTCGAAGGCGTACGAGGTCGAAGAGCAAGGTAAATACGAGGAAGACGTTGATCACTGTAGACGGGCGTATGGAACGGAGATGCTCCAGGTGAGATAAGTAGGCCAGCAAAAGGGAAATGACCACAGTCACAAAAGTTGTAAGCACAGTTGCTCTTGTTTTGAGTGTGGCTTGGCACCAGAGAGCTAGCAGCATCATATGGCATCCTGTGTAAAACAGCCACGATAGCTGCGCGATGCTGGTTGTTAGCGCAAGGAATGTGGGGATATAGAAGAGCTTGGAGATAGGGCATTATACCTCCTTTGTGGCATACAACCATGACCGGTTGACCTTTTCAGGGATAGCCCAAAGCTTCCAAATGCGAATAGATGCTGCAAAACAAACAAGAACGATCGGCCCGAGTGTGAGAATACTCTCTTCAAACAAGAGGGTGAAGTCAAACCCATGCAGACAAGAAGGAGCGACAATTGGGCCAAAAGCGTCCTCCTCCACAGAGCAGTCTAACATGGCTGTCTATTGGGCAGTCGTGTGTGCGTAAATGCCCAGATAAAGCTTCCAAGGCTGCTCTGGAAAGAGAAATAGTTCTAGAAATCGCTGGTGCCTAAAACATGCGACTGGGATCTTCTGACTCACACTCCAACTGCAACACACATTCTTCGAATGATAACATCTTTAAAAAATATATATTATTGTGTCGCGTATCTCAGTGACTCATTGGTGAACCGGCCGCATTGCAGGTGTACATGTGTGGGTTTAATAATGGTTATTCACAGGCGATGGAGTGACAGCGAAGATCATATTTACAACAGTCTCTAGTATTTCATCAAGATCTCTTCTCAACAAATATCGGAGATACACACAACACGTCCAACAATGGGTCACATCAATCACAACTATCAAACAATTATAACAGCAATTGAACGTGTCTAGTATGAGGGGTCCGCCGCCATAAATTGACTTCTGGTTTACAATACTTCTTTCAAATCCATCACACTTACGGAGACCCGATTGTTCTCGCCAAGTAGCACTCCAGCAGAGTTCACAACCAGGTATCGACCTCCGTCCTCCGACAACACCCGTAGAGCCCGTGTGTAGCCATGTCCTTCAGGACAGGCGATCTCTGTCCACTCTCCTTCGCCAAGAGCTTTGTTAATGAACAAAGTACTCTGTGTACCGGAGCTGACGATAATGGTGCCGTTTTTACCACCGTATGGTGTCCATACAGCGTACGGCGAAGATGTTGGCTGAGTACCACTGGAGACAACCAGACGCTGTCCCGGGGCGGAAGCGATATTCTCGGGGTCGGACGACAAGCGGTAGTACAGAGGGAAGGAGTAGGTTTCGGTACCGAAGAAGGAACCATATTCATAGACGTAGAAGTATTGACCGTTCGGGAGCTAGAAACGTTAGCATTCTCCGGAAATGGCACATGCGTGTCTTCCGTTTATCTTACCTTGGTCACAACTGGCATGCCAGGTCGGTCGGTATAAGTAGGATAGGTGACATCTTCGACAACAGGTCCCCAGTTCTTCAGATCATTTGTGACCTGGTGGACCATTGTCTGTCCGTAGGTTGCATTATCCCGCTGATCCGAGTAATAACAAATCAACTTGCCCTTGCTGCAAAGGGAGTCAGCGAGATATTTCAATGAAGAATAGAAGAACATACTTGGCGAGTAGGAATGGCTCCCACACAGGAGTCAGTCCATTGTTTGGCCGCGCCTCTCCTCCGGCGGCAATATGGCTAACAAACTCCCAAGTCACGCCATCGTCCTGTGAGGCGTACAGATCTATGTGTGTGGACGACAGATCAGTCGGAATGCTACTACCGGCTAGGAGTAGAGTGCCCTTTTTAAATGAGCCGACGCGCTCGGGCAAGGAGTAGAGGAACGGCTGGTAACGCAAGCCATATCCATTGACAGTGTCATGGACCCTGGAGATCTCGTTCCAGGTCTTTCCGTGGTCCTTGGAGCGGTAGATGGGGAAGTAGACCGCTGGTGGCTCTGGAGAGTAGTTTTCCCATGTTGCAAGAAGGTCACCATTAGGAAGCTGCTCGTTACGTGGGTAAAGTGTCCGTGGAACGATATAGTCGGAAGGTGGTGAGAAGATAGTCACATTTGTGAGCGAGGTAGGAGAAGACTGCTTAGAGCGCGGAATTGTCGCCGCAGCCGCAGCTGCAGCAAAAGCAAGAACCTGTGAAAGCCTCATATTTGGTATGCCGGAGCTAACTGGTATTCTATCTTCATTGGCAGCATTGTCCTGCTTTTATACCTCGATTCTCTCAAAAATTAAAGTTGATTCTTAAAGTAGTATACAGTACTCCGGCGCTATCCCACCGGAATTAACCTTATTGTGGACTAATCCGAGGGGTAGTTCATCTGAAGAATTTCCATCAATTACGGCCACCGTAAATAATCCGGGGAAATCTCAAATGACGACATTAATTGCCAAGATCTCATGTGACAGCACGTGACGCCACGTGGTGACCCTCCAAGCTCCAAGCAAGGTCTCAGGAGAGAGTCCCTGAAACCTTCCATGGACTCCGTGGTATGCGTACCGAGTAGTCAATCTGAGCTCTAAGCATGGATTCCTACAACATAAGTAGGGGGGCTATACTTCGCAAGGATCGGAGGGCAACCTCGTATCGACAATATCCCTTCGAAATTTGAACTTTTGGAAGTCCACGCCAATTGGGCAGCACAAGTCTCCAGGCAGTTTGGCCCCCACCATCCACAGCCAAATTTAGTAATTCCCAAGAAGTTGACCAATGGTGATCGTCGATCTACAATCCCGTGCGAACTATGTTGCCTATCAGCACACAGCCTTCGAGCATCGCCATGTTTTGCTGGCAACCAACATGCTTCAAAATGATTGATTGGGAGAAATCCATTAATCCCCGTGTAGCCTAAGGCTGAGGGCTGAGTTAATATGGGAAACTTATTTACCTTGGATTTCTTCCACTTTTCTCATTTGACTCCAGTCTTTCAAATTTTCCCCTTTCTCCGAGACATCCCAAGACAAATTATCCTTTTTCCAAGCACTAAAAGTCGATTTGTCCAAAAATGGTACCCACCGAGTTCGCACATCGGCCAAAAGGCCAGTTGAAGGGGAAACTGCAGCGATCGACGAGGGACCTCGTCGGTCGTTCAACAGCCATGTGGGATAATTCAAAATATCGCTACCATCAATCTACAATGGAAATATGGCACAAATCGGCAGACACAATAAATGATTCGAAAGATCGGTGTCATCAGTCAGTTAAATTGATGCTATATCGATCGGTGTCGAAATGGAACCAATCAGCAGATCAGTTACACCGAGTAGCTCGTATCGAAGACACGACACAATATGTTCCAGCGCGCGATGGGCAAACCCAAGAGCAAACACCCCCACAGTCACCCCCGCAATCCCGATTCTACTCCCGGGCACTCAATTCGCAATCAACAGCCTCATCGCCAAACCCAAAGACCACATTACCCTCCACACAAGCGGCATCAATCAAATCTACCTCGGTCATTGAATCTTCACTTTCTCCGGAGGAGCAGATCAGAGTGTTTCACGAAGCAACTGTACCCGTCAATTCCACGGTGAAGCAGGCAAGACAGTTGCGGGATGACAAAAGAACGGCCCTGGGTGAGATCGAGCTTGAGTGGGTCAACTCGGCTATCACCGATGCCGAAAATGCCGCAAATGACTTAGCTGCGTTTGTGAAGCAGTTTAAACAAACCAGCCCCCAATACCGCAGCATCTGGAAGCGTCGTGACTATGAAGTTGCTCTGAGAAAGCAATCCCACATGCTTCTTTCTCATGGCAAAGTCAAGACAGTTCTTAGTCACCTTGGCTCACTACAAACAACTTTGGGCAAGGATGAAGTTTTTTTCTCTCCATCTGAGGTTTCGACGGTTCTTTCTCCGATTTCAGAACTTCCGTGTGAGACCAGTGTCATATCAGTCTTCGAACTTCCATGTATATCACCTGCGAAAACTGAGCGACCTATCCCAAAAATCGTGGTGACACAATATGACGGTGATCGTGACGATAATGAATTATACTCCCATGCCGTAGAAAGTCCTCCCCCAAGCTACGAAGCAAATGGAATGAATAGCATGGCAGAGTTACCGTGATCGCATCACTACATCACTTGCGAAGGTTGGATAAGGAGCGATATGATTGTTCTGTAGCTTATGACGATCCCACACGAATAAACGAATAACGAATCAAAATCTCAGTTCTATATCTTATACCAAGTTTCCAATTTGCATCTTGGCTTGTCTCAATCCTATCATTCAGTCTGGTCAATGAAATTTGCGGAAAGGACTACACCGCAAAAATACATCCGAAGTGGCAGTGGGAATAACATCTAAAGATGGGACCGAACCTCAAGCGCGTTGATCTCCTCAATCACAGTGTTGACTGCCTCAACCGCCATTCCGTATCCAGCCTGGTAGCCGGCCCCACCGGCGCCATAGTTATGGACAACAACCCCCCGGCGTCCCGCGTCGCCTACTTTCACGTTCTCCCTGGCAACACGAGCGCCGCCCTCGCGAGATGGGCGTAGCCCAGAAAATGCACCAAGAATCTCAGTCTCATTTGAGTTTAGAACTGGAAGCAAAGCCGTCGTTCGTGCCAAAATTGACTCTGTCTCTTCTCCGAAGGTATCCGGTGTACTGTCCACATAGTTCAGGTACTGTTATATGGAACACCCAAGAGAAAACGACAATGGACGGATGTTGTTTGACAAAGGGCTGAAAGGAACCTACTTACTGAACATTCTTTTGCATGAAGCCACCAAGAATCACGTTTCCATTCGAGTATGGTCGAGGAATAACGTAGGTTTCATAGTCCTTACCATGTCTCATGATGTTTTGTTGAACATGAGATGCTCTTGCAAGTAGAATCTGACCTCTAGTGGGAAAGCACTTTGAGTCTTGGACTCCCGGTAACTCTTTTGCTGCATTACCGGTGCAGTTAAATACCACCTTCGTATCCTTGCTGAGATAGCCGGATGAGAGTTGGGGCAACTTTTTGCGAATGACTTGCACTCCGTATTCTTCGGTAAGCTTCTTGAACAAATACCGAAGGTGCATTGGTGCGTTGAGAGTTATTGTCGTGAACTTTATGCCAAATGCAACACCCGCTGGCAAGTCTTGTGTGGCAATCTTCTTGAACTGTCCAATGGCAATATCGATAAGCATATCTGGGATAAGGCAAAAAGACATTCAATAACTCACATCTTTAAGATATGCGGCCATAGAGTCGATCTTTTCACAGGATGGTAGCTCATCCCAATACTCCACGGAAGGTGTCTCCTTCACATACGCATTCTGGCCATCCTTGGCTGCAAGATCGAGAAGATGCATATACCCAAGCTTGTCCCACCGCAGCGCATTCGGGTCACTTGCGGAAATAGCGGAAAAATTGGCACCAGCCCTGAACGCTCAGGTTAATCGTGTGGATTTGAACTAGCAGCAGGAGTTCCAACAAACCATGGTGAAGTGTAATTTATCGAAGTGTCTCCTGGAAGATGTTCTGCAATTATGGTCATGTATCGGCCATAGCCCTTTTCAGCAAGAATGAGGGCTACATTTAGCCCGATCACGCCGGCCCTTAGAAATGTCAGCATCAACACTCCGAAACAGTCGCGTTTTGGCTTCCACTTACCCAATGATCACTACAGATTCGCTTTTCATATTTCCGAGCGGCTTTATTGGCACTGAGTAAAATCCAAGTTCCTTATTTGCCTCTTGTCTGCTACACTAGAGAACTTTAAATACTTCACAACTAAGGGCAGCTTTTTAGATTATATAGTCTGATGTTGACTTAAACCGCGGCAAAGTCCGCGGTCAATCGCCCGCGGGCTGGTCGAGGGGCTCCGATTGGCGGCATGGCTAGAGAGATGGGTGGGGATAAGCGGTATCGCTTTTTATTGGTCAATAGTACTCTAACATCGAAGAGCCTCATCGTAGGGGACAGTGATTTCAACGACCGATGGATAACTATCATACGGCTATGGAGCTAACTCAGAAAGCAATATCCATATGTTTAAGAGCTTGAGCCAACTATGCCCAAATTTTGGAAAGAAATAGAGGGCTATATAGGGTAAACTCTAGTGTCATTTTGGCAACTTTGCCTATGCTTCCTTTTTCGACTATGTCTTCTCTACGATCACTTCAATTTTTCTAAGATATATATTAAGAAATCACCGCGCCGTGGGTCGGAACTTTTTTCATAGACCACTCTAATCCTACGGCAGACTTCTGCCGTTCACGATAAGAACGTCTCCGCTCAAGAAATGGTCGCTTGGAATATACGACTGCCGTTCGGAGACATTACCAGAGTCTGCTATATAAACTACATTCTAATTCGAGTAGACACCTGTCAGCGACAGGATCCACTATACCTAGCCCGCTTCATAGGTACATTGTAACTGTTTCCTTCTCCCGTCGCACCTCTCTCTCCCCCCCCACTACGAGGTACTTCCCTCCTCCATTCCTATCCACTTTCTCCAATGGTGCATATTGCCATCCTCACTGGTCATCTCCAGTCGTATGACGAGATATGTATAGTTTGATAGCCAAAAGCAGACAGTCGTCTGGCGTGAAGATAAGAACTCGCTAGTACCCAATACTGCATAGCCATGGTCTCATACAATGGCAATCCTAAAAACAACTTGAAGATTTGATGCTTTCAAAACTCAAATGGTGGAAAAAACAAACAAATGCCTCAGGGTAGGGACACGGAGATACCTCGGCGGTGATATCTCGGTAGTCATTCGGGTGAGACTCGGTTCACAATTTTCTACTTGACATGGATGTCATTCTTATCTCAAGAATATAACTAGGTAGATATAAAGTGTGCGAAATCGCCCAAATACAATTCGAAGTAGAAATCGATAATTTCAAATATATCAAGACATTATGTCCGAACATATTGATACACAAGATTCTACGCCTAAAATAAGCAAGTCACAGTCTTCCTCCGAAGATCTCAACGCCACCCAGGAAAAGTCACATCCTTCACCTCTCCAGCGCTTGAAGAAACGATGGAAGGAGATAAAAAAGGAGTGGGGGCCTCTCATGGCGGCCAAAGAGGACTGGGATGACGAGTATACTTTCCCACCCGGCCGTTACTCTGGGCAAAGATAGCTTGACAATGGTGAGGTTCTCACATACATCATGCTCGAACTTATTATCTAATGCTGTTTCGAAGTCAGTATTTTTGCCAAGGCGGCAAAAGAGTGGAACTTTTCTTCGACCTAGGGACCGCCAGTGCTAATCCTTCGCCGATCATCGCCATGCAATATGTGCGATCTTCCTATCAACCCGACCACGGAGTGCTTTCCACATGCATCCATGATACCGACGAAAAACTTTCAAAATAATGGCGTTTTCTTTTCGGAACATTGGCCAATGCGCGGTCTTCCAACATGGCGTTACGCTTCTTTCGGTCATATTTTGCTGGCGGACTTCCTGGGATATTGAGGATTTGCTGTTTCCTCCAAGATATACATCCCTCTCGATAACTCATAATTCATAATATCCTAATGCTCATCAATTACATCTAGCCCCTATACTGTGGGCACGTCTCTATCTCCATTTCGATCAGCTGTTCCGAATGCAACTACAAGAAAGAACATGAAATTTGCTTTTCATTAGCCTCTACGTAGGAGATAAACACCTCAATGTGAAAGATATCCTTGTAACTCACTACGCTGAAAGTCAGTTCGAGAGCATACTTTTTGCCTGATGATCGAGGCACTAACAGTGGGGAGATTAAGCTCCGTGCAACACGCTTAACTCTAAATTCAGATCCATGGAACGTCTGGGACATAAATTCCAAGGTTTTCTAGTTCACACAGATCAGGCAGTCACAGGTCCTCCGGGTTTCTGGCCGTAAACCACGCGCAATTTCGTGTACAAGTGATATGACGTATCCCGCAGCTCCATTCGAATTCCTGTCAACAGCCCTTCAATCTCGGAACGTGTCCACCCAAGCACTCTTGAAAACAATGCATATGTGTAAATAGGCATAGCTTCAAGCATGTTAAGCTGATGGTACCGACCAAGCTCCTTAAGCTTGGGGTCTTTGGGCCATGGACTTTGGGGCAGCTATTCACTAATAAGCATGGGGCTCCATCTTTATCAGGGATGGCGGAACATACCTTGTAAACATCTTCTTTGACATTCACAAACCCGGCCTTCACCATCCGCTCTTTCCAGGATGGTGAAGATGTCATGTCCTTGCCAAACATGCGCGATGATTCATGCATGTGCTTGATGGAAATCATAAAATTGGTTGCCTTGAGGTGAGTTCCATCGTCCGAATAAGTGTTGACGTCGAAGCTCGCCATTTCAAGCCATCCATTGGGATTCAGGTTGTCGAGTGCTTGTTTGAAGAGAAGGTCATGGTCACGGATGGAACCTTCCAATTCGCGCCCATGGATATAGTCAAATGGTTTGCTGTATGACCATGGTTGTTCAAAGTCGTCAATCTCGAAGCGGCAGTTTGGAGGCACCCTGGACATATATCAATATCATATTAAGGGGCCAATATAGTAGCGGTGAAACGTACCATGATGGCTGAATAGCGCTTAGGTCAATTCCTATTTCCATTAGCCAACGTTTTGATCGGGCTGTAGACAGATGTCCGTACCAATCACCTGTGAGTTTGGATTTGTACTATATTGCTCGTTAGGGGTGAATTTGAATGGATATCTTGGAAATCAACGTACTCTGCATACTCGATTGCCCATAAGCCTGTTCCTGTGCCGAGATCTAATACTCGCTTTGGATCTTTGACTGGTGCTTTGAGCAGTTCTCCTTTGAGGAGCATTAAGTAAATGTGGTGGCTCTATTGCTTATTAAAATTTTGTGTGGTCGGAATCAACAAGTGGAGACTAACCAGATCAAGGCGATCTTGTTCCCGTTCGTCATTTGGCTGTTTGAAATTAGTTTGAGAGAGGCACTAGGCGTTATCAGGGTCATGTACCAGAATGTATTCTCCTTCATGGTATGAATGATATCTGCGACCGTTCTATATCTGATCAGCACAGTTCGTGATCAAGTCGCGGTATAACACACTTCATATCTGCGATTATTAGCAACCATTTGGACAGAGAATTCAGGCACCTTAACATACTGATAGTCTAGCACGCTCGAGGTCACACTTGTGGTGTAACTGGCGTTGTCAAGTCTATTATCGTTAGTAGGATGTACACATTGTCACAGGTCACTGGTCTTACGAGTCAGAGTATAATGAGGACCCGTCGGTGTCGGACTAATGACGTTAGTTAAATAAGCAGAGGGAATGACGCGCAAAGGAAAAAAAGAGAGAGAGAGAGAGAGAGAGAGAGATTTCATGAAATACTAACGTCGGGCTCGACCGGGTCGTGGTGAGTATCTTGATCCATTTTCGATTCCGATCTACAAGACAGCACAAGAACGCAGCGAAGCGCGCTGTAGACGGTGAAAGGGAGAAAAAGTGAAAAGTGAAAACTGCAAGCACACCGACTGCAGTCCTATGACCCCCCTTATGACCCCTCTGTCTTCAAGACAGCTGTTAGCGTCCCAGATTGTCGGGTCTAGCGTTACCACGTTATATCCAACGATCATCCACACCGTCAGCCGGATAAGTATGTTGTACTCCTTTGAGTAAAGAAGGCTGCCCCAGCGTACCTTTTCCTTAGTTTCTGGAGTACATATCCCGTGTAACGGCTTTCAATGGGCGTTAGTTGGATGTTCTAAGTGGTTCGAGAACAGCTAGCGTATTGATCGCTCTAAGCTGATTAGCCCACTGCTGTGCGATGATCCGCAGGACCAAAAAGGGACTGGTGCTTGACCAATCAGAGGTGCAGTGCATCGGGTCGAGGCCCACAGCTGTAATTTGCGCCAGCCACGCTCCCATTGGATTTGAACAATACCGACTCCGTATGTACCAAGAATCTAGCAATAGCTTATATGCTGTATATAATATCTCAAGGTCGTGTTGGATATCTTGTGTTGAAACTGCAAAGTCGAACTACCTAAATCAAGTCCGTGACCACATTATGGAGTGGGGCGAGCAACGTAAGTGCTTGTACGTACTTTTGCCCTCGTATCCATATGACAGAAATTGTTCAATTCGCTAGTCACAAATAATTGACACCATTCGGTCCCGACAGCTTGGTCGTTCGCCACTGCACAGCGGAAGCGAAGAAAACACTCCGGGAATCATTCCACTCGCCGTAGTGATAGTCGCTCCGGCCCAAGTCTCAACGTTTTTTGTGATCCGTAATGCATTTATGCGGGCTGGTATGCAAGTTATTGGTTATGTGCATACCTATGCCGGTTGTACAACATTAGGGATGCGTATATCCCCAACGTTCGAGTTGTACTCCGTAGTGTTCTAGAACTCGAGCTTTTGGTTTGAGGCACTATCATGTGTTAGGGTGAGACAAGTGATCGGAAAGGCATAGAGCTACATGTACTTATGTACTTATGGCCCTTTCCGATAACCCCAAGGCGCACTATGAGGGACTCAACTGTGCGATACAACCCTAGTCTATCCCTGGGGCAATCACAACCGTTGGTTAATCTGGGGGCCATTTTTCCCTCGACCGCTGTACAAAGTACCACTTTTAGGTAGTGCTTATAGGCGACGAAGCAACTAATCCCAAGTAGACTGTTCTGACTGCAACCCCCCACCAGCATATATAAATGCCTACAGTGCAAATAATATATCGAATATGTTATGTATAAATCATCAATGGAAAATGTGCTAGATCAGGCTAGTCCCGCAAATCAATCAATTGCTGGATGTGTCACGAAAAACGTTTTATCCCCATGAAAATGGCGGTTTTTGGTTGGTCAGTATTTCCCCGGATTCTACTGGGTTAAACCTGCCCAACGGGAGTCTCAACCTTCCAACCTTGGAATTTTTCCCAGACGAGCACGCTGCACCTTCTTCATGAAAAGACCTCAAAAACCTGTGTTGAAGACGGATCAACCTATCCTTCATTTAGTCCTTCGTTCCTACATCTCACACACAACGACTGTGCCTATCATGTTCACCGACGACGAAGGAATCGGTAGATTGCCTAGAAGAATGAAGCAAATGTGTTAATCACCCGGGCACCAGCCGCTATCGACCCGAACAAAGGCCCGGCATCCTTCCATAATCGCATGTTACTTGTACACTAAAGGTCTTCTCAGGCCCCAATCCATTTCATCAGCGGCGTCCAACCGATGTAGATTACTGAAATAGGCTATTTTTGCCCCATGGTTCTTTGCAGGAATACAAAGCCTTCCCAGGTGAGTCTCTGGAAGTCGCAACGCGATGACGTAAACCTCCCTAAACCGATTGGTCTGTCTTGCGCTGATCATTTCTTGCGTGTTGCTTCGATTGCTTGGTTCGATTATCGAGTGTGCAAAAGAGGGAAGTCCACGGGTGTCCGTATTCTTACTCTCTAGATCGTGACTTCGTCATTGGTGTCCATTCGCGTGGTGGCCCACCAAATGTTACATGATTCACCAGTCTACTCCATTCCTATAGGCAACCTTCGCGTTTGGAAAAATGTCCAGTGACAGGGAAGGGGGTCTCTTTCTTCCGTGCGCAATTCTCTGCCCTGTTTCTTAGTTTGTTCGACAATCCTCTAGACCGGGGTTCGAGGACTTACTATCCAATGATCCGATAGAGACCCCGCCCTTTTGACCGACTGTGGGATACTCATCTAAATCATGTTACATGGGCACTATATCCTTCCTAGCGGCTGACACCGTGTGGAAGTCAACCCGAACTGGACCCGAGCTTGATGATTTGGCGAGTCTCAATACCGGGGGCAAATCCATGGATCGATGCTTGTCTTATAAAGCAAGCATGTCCCCTTTACTTCCCCACCGTTAACTATTCTCAATAGTCGAGAGGTTGCAATAATCTGCACATTTTCTGAATAGGTCATCTTACCCTCTTGCTCATGATCCTTTATGCGAGGACACTTTTCGCTGACTTGGCTACGCCCAGAAGGTAGATAATTGTGCATATTTGACCATAATTTGACACAGTATATTCATCCAGCATGAAGGAGGATGAAATGCCCGACTCGACTGCTGGGAGGGTAGATCATATAGAGGAGAGCCCGCCTACATACGTTCAAAAAGAAGAGAAGGTCGACCCGGAGAGCCGCTCTCCTGGCAATCTCAATGCCGTCTTCGAAAATCCGCTTGCTGGAATTTCCCGCGAGCAACTCTTTAGAGATGTTGTCGAGTTTTGCACCAAATATGATTTGATGGATCATGTCGAGACTTTCAAGAAGGGTGCTCTCATTTCGCAAAATCCCGCATCGGCAACAAGTCGCCTCGATTTGTCGGAAGAAGAGAAGGAGGCCCTTGAGCGTGAACATACCCATAAGTGGTCACAACCGTGGCAGTTATACTTTCTAGCATGTATGCGCGAGAATTTATGCGATCCATTGGCCCAGGCTGACTTCATTTTTTCCCAGCAATGTGCTCTCTCGCTGCGGCCGTCCAAGGTATGGATGAAACAGTCAATAATGGTGCCCAGGCTATTTACTTTGACAAAGACGTATGTACCCTATCGTTGGTTGTGCTATCATTAAACTGATTTTCTTTCTAGCAACTCAACATCACTTCCAAAAACATCCAAGGTCTTGTTGTTGGCGCCCCATACTTGGCTTGCGCGGTTATTGGTTGCTGGCTTACTGAGCCCCTAAATCGGCTTTTTGCCCGGCGTGGTACAATTTTCATCTCATGCGTGATTGCAGCTGTTGCCTCAGTATGGGAAGGTGTTGCAAATACCTGGGTCAATCTTTTCATTGCCCGCTTTGTTCTTGGTCTGGGAATCGGGTCGAAATCGAGCACTGTACCTGTATACGCCGCGGGTAAGTGCGTCGAATGAATTGCTTGTCGTCATAGCTAATTCAATAGAATGTTCTCCCGCTCCAATCCGAGGTGCTCTCGTTATGATGTGGCAAATGTGGACGGCCTTCGGTATCATGCTTGGTAACATAATGGGTGTTGCTTTCATGAGTCTAGACCGAGACATCAGCTGGCGCCTCATGCTAGGATCCACTGTCGTACTACCTCTCGTTGTCTGCGCTCAAGTATACTTCTGCCCGGAATCTCCAAGATGGCTGATTCAGCACGGCAAAATCCAAAAGGCCTATACCAATTTCCGTATCCTCCGCCCAACAGACATTCAGGCCGCAAGAGATCTGTATTATGCATATGTGGGCGTTGAGCTTGAACGGAAGATTAACAAGGGCAAAAATTTCTTCACGATGTTCATTGAACTCTTTACCATCCCGCGCAACCGCCGTGCCACCCTCGCTAGCTGGATCGTGATGTTTATGCAGCAATTCTGTGGAGTCAACGTCATTGCATACTACTCTACCTCCGTATTCACCGAAGCAAGCTACAGTCTGACTAGCGCGCTACTGGCGTCCATGGGAACGGGCATTCTCAACTGGATCTTTGCCCTACCAGCCTTCTTCACGATTGATACCTGGGGTCGACGGAATTTGCTACTATTCACCTTCCCCTTCCTTGCTGTCACCCTTCTGTGGACTGACTTTTCTTTCTGGATTGAAGAGGGGAATGAAACAAGCAAAAAAAGGGTTGCAATGGTCACCACGGGCATGTACCTTTTTGAAGTATTCTACTCTCCTGGAGAAGGACCAGTCCCATTCGCATATTCGGCCGAATGTTTCCCTCTGCAAGTCCGTGACGTCGGTATGTCGTGGGCGACAGCCACTACTTGGTGTTTTAATTTCATTTTGTCTTTCACTTGGCCGAATCTGGTCGATTCTTTCAAACCACAGGGTGCCTTTGGTTGGTACGCTGCTTGGTGTATAATCGGCTGGTTTTTGGTTCTGTTGTTTGTACCCGAAACAAAGTGTAAGCTCCGTGGCCTATCGGAAATGAACAGTGCTAATGTTTTGTCTTCAGCCCTTACTCTGGAGGAACTGGACCAAGTCTTCTCCGTCTCGACCAGCAAGCACGCATCATACCAGATCAAGAACGCTTTGTGGCATTTGCGCGTCTGGATCTTTCGTCAGAAACTAGAGCCTCTGCCAGGATTTTATCAAGGTGTCGAGCGTCTTGCGGAAGTAGGTGACATAGCGTCCAAGGCAGGAAAAGAAGGAGAAAGAGTGCATAATGACTAGATTCTACAGAGATAGAAGAGATGGTAGTGAGGTAATGGCTGCAGCAGGTGTTCCCGGACAGGTCCAATTTAGTTCGATTATAGGATGTGCATTTGTGGGCAGGATATGATGACAGGCAATGTGGTTACTAGTTCTTCAGCTGACCAATAAATGGTCAAACGGATCACGTATTTTCTTCTATACAGTAAGCAGACAAGAGGGCCTATGAACGAAATGTGTACAAGGTATATGCATCGAACCTCCTATTGAGTATCGCGATTGACTGCTGTTGTCAAATTACTCAAGTCTCTTGCTTAGCACGGCACCGTACCAGATTGTAGCAAGCAGACTGACCAAGTTGACCAAACTTGAGATGCCATGCACACGGCCGAACTTTTTGTTCAGGGCCAGCATCTCCTTGGAGTGAGGCGCCGGGTCGTAGCTCCTCTTTCCATCACGGGTTTCTGTGAAGGTTAGAATATTCAATTGACTAGTTTACACGAAACATAGTGCCAGCAGCTAACGTACCTTGATGCTTGCGCTCGCGCATCACATTTGTGGTGATGGGACGTAACACGAACATGTTCACCAACCCAGTTACTGTCACGGTTGCCAAAGGCAAGAGGGTGTTAAGACGGTTCTCAGGTGCAGTGAGACCAGACAGACCCAAGACCTGTCCGCCGTGGGAAGCGGTCAAGGCGACCACTACAGGCAGCGCACTTTGCAGTGAGAAGTAGATGGGAAAGATGGCGGTCTGCAGACTAGCAAATTGGGGCCGCGGAAGGGCACGGAAAGAAACGAAGCCTCCGACAAAGGACTTTGGATATGTTAGACAACGCTTTTAGAGAGGGCGATTCGATATCCGCCCGGTTCAGATTGGTCTCACCTGGTAGAACTGTGTCCCTAAAAGGGTGCCGTAACTATCTCATTTATTAGCTCATGAGCCATGATTTTGCGCCAATAAACAAACCTCAGAACGTGATAGGGGCGAGGATCCATGATTTCAGATATGTTATGACCTCGGGAGAGTTGAGTTGGCGATAAAGTCGATGTGAAGTTGCATCGAGGGGAAGAAGTGGCAGTTATCGCTACGACCCAACGCTTAATGAAAGCCTTATTTCCACTTCCAAATAGAGGGAGCTGACTTCTAACGACGCACAGACCACCAAACACCAACAAAGACGGCGTGTGATGTCATGTGCCTTCGCGTTTCGGTCTAAACCGCAAGTGGAAATATCACGCGTCTGCCTGTTGTCTTGAGCCTCAAGCAACTTTGTCTTGCCATTTTCCCAACATCATCATCATTATGGCGGAGAAAGAGGCTACAGTTTACATTGTAGACATGGGACGGTCTATGGGCGAGCGCCACCATGGCCGTCCTATGACAGATCTCGAATGGGCCATGCAGTATGTCTGGGATAGGATCACCGCCACGGTATGTGATTTGACCTTGTTCAACGCCAGCGAACTGACAATTCCAGGTGGCTACCGGTCGAAAGACGGCTACGGTTGGTGTAGTTGGTCTCAGGACTGATGGTGAGTGGTCGCCTACCAGTCAGTACCCATCGGGACCCTTGTCTCATGTTTGGAACAGAAACGATCAACGACTTGGAAGAAGAGAACTTCTCTAATATTTCTATTCTCTTTGGTCTTGGCCAGTATGTGTGGCTTAATTAATTGACAGTCTCATGCCGAGTCGCTTGACTAAATTGTCTTTCAGAGTCCTCATGCCTGATATCCGGAAACTGCGAGAAACGATCAAGCCCAGCAACACTAACAGAGGCGATGGTATGTGACAGTTGAAGTCTTGTCAAGCTGCTTGTTCTGACTTTATATAAGCCATCTCCTCTATTGTCATTGCCATGCAGATGATCATTGAGTACACGAAGAAAAACAAATACAAGCGCAAGATCATTTTGGTGACCAATGGCACCGGCGTGATGAGCGATGATAATATCGAAGGCATCATTGAAAAGATGAAAGAGGTTAACATTGAGTTGGTGGTCATGTATGTTTCTTGCCCACAAGACTTCACATTCATGCTAATACTATGCAGTGGAGCCGATTTTGATGACGCTGAGTATGGTGTAAAGGAAGAAGACAAAGACAGTCGAAAGGTACTAAGCCATCTCCAATTTATTCTATTATTCATGTTGACCAAGCGCTCTGCAGGCTGAAAACGAGACTCTTCTCCGAAGCCTGACCGAGGACTGCGAAGGTGCTTATGGAACGCTGGAGCAAGCCGTTTCGGAATTGGATATTCCCCGTATCAAAGTGACCAAGAGCATGCCGTCTTTCAAGGGAAACCTTACACTCGGCAATCCCGAGGAGTATGACACGGCAATGACTATACCCGTGGAGCGATACTTCCGAACCTACGTCGCCAAACCAATCTCAGCGAGCTCGTTCGTTCCACGCTCCGGCACCGAACCTGGAAGTCAAGCACCGGTTAAAGGCAATGCTGAAGGCGACGCTCTCGCCTCGGTGCGAACATCACGGACATATCAGATCACAGATGAGTCCGCACCTGGTGGTAAGATCGACGTTGAACGCGATGACCTCGCCAAGGGGTACGAGTACGGACGTACCGCAGTTCCTATCGAGCAAACCGATGAGAATGTTGCAAATCTACAAACATTTGCTGGTATGGGGCTGATCGGGTTCGTTCAAAAGGATCAGGTGTGTCTTTATACCAATCTTAAGTGCTATAACAGCTAATCCGTCACTTAGTATGACCGGTACATGCATATGTCCAACACGAATATCATCATTCCTCAGCGTGCAAATGACAATGCGTCTCTTGCATTGTCTTCTCTCATTCATGCACTCTACGAATTGGAGTCCTATGCGGTTGCCCGCTTGGTGACCAAAGAATCCAAACCACCTATGCTCGTGTTGCTAGCTCCATCTGTTGAGGCAGACTATGAGTGCTTGATTGAAGTACAGCTTCCATTTGCAGAAGACGTGCGATCGTATCGATTCCCACCTTTGGATAAGATCATCACTGTCTCTGGCAAGGTGGTGACAGAACATCGAAACCTCCCAAGCGTGGCGTTGAAAGATGCGATGAGTAATTACGTGGACAGCATGGATTTTGTCACCACAAATGATGAAGGGTAAGTATAGTCCACTTGATTATCGACTTTATCAGCTAATCAAAAGAGCCAGGCAACCCACTGACGATCTCCCAATTGACGAGTCATTCTCACCATTATTGCACCGCATCGAATCAGCTGTCCGATACCGTGCTGTGCATCCCAATGACCCTGTCCTCGACCCCTCAGAGCGGCTCACTGAATTCGCACACCCCTCAGAAGACATGGTCAAGAACTCCAAATCCCATCTTGAGAAATTGATGTCCATAGCAGATGTCAAGAAAGGTAACCCCGGTTTTTAAACTACATTCAGAAGATACCATACTCACCCACGCATTCTGTTTTATAGTTCCACCGAAGACGAAAGGCCGTAAACGCCAACGTGAAACAGAGAAACCTCTCTCAGGTTTGGACGTGGACGCCCTGCTCAGCCTCGAACCCAAGCGAACGAAGATTTCCACCGAGAATGCAATCCCAGAGTTCAAGCAAACACTTTCCCGCGCGGAAAACATTGACGCGATCCACGACGCTGTGCAGCAGATGGCTAAAATCATTGAGACCCAGATCACACACAGCCTCGGTCATTCAAATTACGACCGTGTTATCGAGGGGCTTGGTACTATGCGTGAAGAACTGGTGGACTATGAGGAACCGGCGGTGTACAATGACTTTGTGCGCCAGTTGAAGGGTAAGATGTTGCGGGAGGAGTTAGGTGGGGATCGGAGGGAGCTATGGTGGTTTGTGAGGAAGGGAAAGCTTGGGCTCATTGGCAAGAGTGAGGTGGATAGTTCGGCTGTTGAGGAGGAAGAGGCTCAAGAGGTGAGGTTTGGTCTCTTATTGTGGAATGGAACGAGTGCTAACACTGCATATAGTTTCTGGCTCCCAATTGAGGAGTTGAGTGGGGGCCGGATTATTGTCTCGCTATTCGAACATATGAAATAGTGAGCATACGAGGGATATGGAATATTCATACTATTCTCTACGCCAGATTTACGCGATGTAGAGCTTCCTGTGCAGGTGATGTTATACGGTACGCGGTAGAAGTAAGGCCGGGAAACGAAGTATAGTCCACCTCAGGTGATGAGCCCAATAATACTTGACGACCCAGATCAAAGGATACGGATTGGAAGGGTTACGGGGAAATGGAAATATTGAGCAAGCTCATGAACAGCATTGTCATATCGACGTAGAATTGACACATACAGGAACGAAGCCCGCAGACAGAACAATATGAGACACGAAGTGAATCGGTGCCCAATTGCAAGGCATGACGAGTCGTCAATCAACAACAGAACCAAACGCCGTGCATAACATGCCCAATAACCAGTATTCGCTCCAGAAAACAGCAAAAGACCGAGATTTGCAAACTCAAACATTAAAAAGCATCCAGATGCATCACGGAAAAGGGGTATGCAGAAGTGTTGTCCCGGTAGGACGAGAAGAATGGAACAAGAAGCGCCCCGAGGAAACATGGAGAGTTTCGAGGGGCGAAAGAAGAGAGCAGAACATTTAGTGGATGGTCTTGATGGCCCGTGCGGGGCTGATAGTATTGCTGCCAATGCGGCCACTAGGCTTGCGAACACCACGAGACTCGCTGCGGGTGTTTTCCGTGGGGCGGCGAGGGCTGGAGCGAACCTTGCTGACTGAGATAGGGGCAGCGCCGCTCTTGCGGCTCACTGGAGTCTTGGGTGCTGAGTGGTCAACCCAGTTCTCTTGATCCTTGTGGTTGTCTTCTGTGAGGGTGTAGCTCGCTGTGACAGTGGCAGAGTAACTGATAGACCGTGATGTGGGTGAGGCAACAGGAGACCTAGATGATCGCTGGGCTAATCGGCGCAGCTGGATCTCTTCTTCACTCTCACTGCTCTCGTTGCTCTTCCTGTGACTGCGGTGGCTGCGCTGCTCGTTTTCAACAGCGAGGGAACCAGACGCAGTTCGGGAATAAGGGTGGTGGCGTGAGTCCTTTCGGTGGGATTTGCGAGGCTGACCAGGGGTTGGCGCAGGAAGATCTTGGTCTGGGTAAGCTGCAGCTTCATTGTGATCAATCTCTCCGAGGGCTGCGCGTTTGGAGTGGCTATTATTTGGTGGTGTGGAGACCACTCCGTTGCTGGTGCGTTTCTTGGTCGACACCCGCGGAGTGACGGGTGTGGACTGTGCCAGCTTCTCGCGCATGCTGTCCTCAAACCACCATTCACGGAATGCACCCTGGTTGAGGTGTAGCCAGTGTTGCTGAGGTCCAACGACCATACCGGGTCGCATGAATCTCATGAAGGCAATCACTTCATTGGCGGTGAATCCATACTTGTAGATCAGGTAAGCGCCAATCAAGCAGCCCGTACGGCCCAGGCCTGCCTTGCAATGGACTGCTATACCCTTCTTCTTGATGGTGATCATCTCATGGGCCATTTTGATAAACCGTCTGACAAGCTGCAGGGGAGGGCAGGTGCCATCCTCGAAGATCATGTCAATGTGAGCGATTCCCATTGCGGTGAAGTAAGATGGGCAGTAGAGCTCCGAGTTGAGTCGTACAACGAGACCGACGTTGCGCTGGTGGAAGTGGGCGAGAACATTCTTGAATGGCATAGGAAGCTTTGAGGAAGAGATTTCCGAGATTGTTGTGGGCAATGCGTCGTACTCGGGGGTGTTGACAGGAATGGGTTCTACGGGCTGGTGCTGAGGAGACGCAAAGGCAAGGAAATCCGGCGTAACCCAGTTGAAGTCACCCATATCGACTCGCTCAAATTTCTCGTATCTATTGAAACAAATCAGCATTAAATCTTGGGCCTCGGAAACAGTGGCACTTACTCCTCGAGATTGAAGTCGCGAAGTCCACAAAGAGACTGCTCCTTGGCCTTCCATACTCCATAAACGACATCTTGAATGTTCAAGATGAAGTCTGCCTGGCTGTATCCAGCATCGCGGAAAGGCATGTAAGGAGGGTCTGCCTGTGCGATGGGTGCTAGAGCCAAATGAGGTGGCCAGGATTGAATCATGACCATATAGCATGCAACGAGGCACGCTGCATTGGCGCGACTCCGGGCATCAGTTTTGCTATAGAAGACTACCGGACGGTCGCTGTTGGCTGGATCGCCAAGAATCTCGTGGAAAAGCACAGCAAACCGGTAGAGGTGGCCGATGTGGAGTGGGCCGAAATCAGCGTGAAAGGCATTGTAAAGAAGTGTGTCATCGATGGTGAAGTACACAGGAGAGCGGCGCTTGCTTGGAGTGGCGGGCTGGGCACGCGCCCGCTTGCTTGGGGATTTGGGTGCGTCCAGATGGAAGGGAAACGGGGTTCTGGAGCTGGGAGCAGAATCATAGGATGCAAGGTATAGGCGATCTGGATGGTAATTTGCCTTAGCTCTCATTGCTGGGTAGAAGACATTCAAATCGTCGAAGAACATTGTACCAACCTTGGATGTACTCGATCATCTGCCCGCCGTGGTTGAAGTCGGTGGTCATATTGCGGGTTGTTTGTTGACAGCCGCCTAGACTTAGAGTGATTGTGTAACGCTAGTAAAGAGCGAAGACAGATCGATATGGTACCGTTACAGGTCCTGGTGTTGTTTTGGTGTGACTCGGAGGATAGCGAAGCCAATGGTAAGAAAATAGTCGGTAAATGTAAGACCTAAACACTCATGATCAAACTGAGGGAGATCTATGAGTATAGAATGTTAAGGATAAAGAGAAAATAAAAAGCCTGGATGCGAAAAAGCTGTACAGGTGAGGAGATCGGAGGAGAAGGAAATCAACACAAAGTCCGAGTTCATGATGTTTGCAGCTGCCATGCCACTGTTATGTTGTGCCTTACCTATTTGGGACTAGTGGTGGCCGTTGACGTGACAACCCTATGGCCTCAGGCATCAGCTTGTTTGCCTTGCACATTCCAAAACATCACAACAAACAAACAGTATAAACTGCACAAACCACACAAACCACACAAACACCATTAACATGAAGATGAAGGACTCATAGCTCACATCTCATACATCTCATACACCTCCACTCCGAATTCATACCCTAGTCTTCAGCTTGGAACACTGTCTCCTGATTGGACATTCCCCATATCACATGGCTGCTTCATCCATCCCTGGAACAGAGTATGTCTTTTACAAATAATAGTTCAATGGAGGGCTGCTTCATGTTTCCAATCAATGCTGTACTTAAGCTTCCAATCCATGTCGGTAAATGAGCTCAGGAATAAGGCGCTTTTGCACCCCTTTGCTTCCTTCCATGCAAGCGGGTCCAGTATACGACCTTCAGACAAAACGATTACTGCAATATTTACATAACTATCTACACTATCCATGGATCGAGGTGAAAGGTGATGTCCAAACCGCTGCGCTCCAACACTGCGTAACATTGAGTGATCCATATGGTACGGAATACATAAATGGCGCCTCTCAGCTGCATTCTCTTAGTAGAGATTCTCCTCAATACAACAGCTTGTTTGCAATTTGCTTCATGTTGACTTTCTCTTCAAGGGCGTTGCGGCGACTGAACGCTGAACCGGTCATTCCCGATGATCCTAGGGTCACAATTCACCCTAATGACACTACAGCGGTCTGGTTATCTAACTGAACGTCGTTTGCTGGTGCCAAAAAAAATTTTCATATCGACGGTCTTTGCTTTCCACTTTCAATGGCGTGTTCCTCCACATGCCAGTACATGTAAACATTGAGGGCAGGCGGCTGCCGCAATTTCAGTAGAGCCTGGATTTCATACAGAATCAATGCATGGGCATCTAACGGTGAAACTTTTTTTTTTGGCAAATTCGATTCCACTTGGTCAGATTCATGTTCAGTACCCCTGGGAAAGCGGTGATCGACACAAATGTGAGGCGCCTCATATAATGACCCTTGCCTGAGCCTACGGTCCATGCACTTCCAAGGTTATATTGCTGTACATCCCTTACTCGAATACTCTGAAGGTTGTTGGCTGGTATTATTCTTATGTTGTATTCGTCTAGGAAAATATATGACTTGGTTCCACAAGCCCGAATATATCATTATCTCCCACGTTGCAATCTTCTATATATGAGATTATATGAAAATATCCCGCAAAAAAGAACTAGCTTCGACAATGACTTGACCTACTTTATCCTGCCCAATTGTTGGACACTTGCTCCAACCACACCGCTTGAGACCTATCACACACCTTAACTCAAGACCATGTGGGCACATACATCCCTTCTTTTCGCGCAATCTCCGCTAAGATGAAACTACCTGCGGCTCGACGGATTGCAGCCCGTTAGTGCCGGTCGTGATAATTAACTACCTTAATGGACAAGAACAACCACGGTCAAAACATCGCCCCTGATAACCCCAGATGCGAGGGGGCTTTCGATGACCCTGCGGAGCACTGCCAAAACAAGCTTAGAGAATTGTATATAATCCGACCTTTAGATCCTGCAACTTTGTGTTCCTTTCTATACACACAAGTCATTCATTCACTTCCACTCACTCTTTTCCTACCTGTTCAATTCTTGCTCACCGAGTCACTCTTTTTAACCCTTCGAGACTTTACAAGCATCGCAACCATGAAGTTCACGGGATTCACCGTTTCACTCGCCTTTGCTGGCTTGGGCTACTCTGCCGCTCTTCCCGTCCTCGGCAATGTCAAGGGTGCTGTATCTGGCGTTGAGGGCGTCGTCGGTGGTGCCACAGGTTCCGCTGCTAAGATCGTTTCGCCTATCACCTCCACCGCTGGCGGCCTGACTGGTGGCCTCAAGCGTGACAATACCGCTGCCCTCGGTGGAACTGCCGAGACCATCCCAGGCCTGGCCAACACCGCTGTTGGCATTGCCGGTAGTGCTGTCGGTACCGGTGAAAGCCTTGTCTCTGGGGCTGCTGGTACCGCAGAGAACGCCGTTGCTGGTGCCGGTCCAGCCGCGAAGCGTCAATTCAACGACCTCGTTGGAAGCACTCTTGGAAGTGCCGTTCCCGCCATTGTCCAAGAAGCCAAAGCTGGAGGCCCAGCTGGTGTCCTCAAGCGCGATGGACCTGCCGCGCTTGGTGATACTGCCGAGACCATCCCAGGCCTGGCCAACACCGCTGTTGGCATTGCCGGTGGTGCTGTTGGTACTGGCGAAAGCCTTGTTTCGGGTGCCGCCGGTACTGCCGAGAATGCAGTTGCCGGCTCCGCTGCAAAGCGTGGGCTCAACGACCTTGTTGGCAGCACTGTCGGAAGCGCCGTTCCCGCTATTATCCATGAAGCCAAGGTCGGGCCGCTGGCTGGCGCTGGTCCAGCCGCGAAGCGTGGGGTCAATGACCTTGTTGGCAGCACTCTTGGAAGCGCCGTTCCCGCCATTATCCAAGAAGCCAAAGCTGGAGGCCCAGCTGGTGTCCTCAAGCGCGATGGAACTGCCGCACTTGGCGATACCGTTGAGACCATCCCAGGCCTGGCCAACACCGCCGTTGGCATTGCCGGTAGTGCCGTCGGTACCGGTGAAAGCCTTGTCTCAGGTGCTGCTGGTACCGCTGAGAACGCTGTTGGCCATGCCTAGTTATTAAGTTTTACCATGTACGGGTCATCCTGCGGGACTTTTTATGATTGATCGAGTCTTCGTGTACGATACTTCCGGTGTACCTTTGATGCCTCTATATGACTTCCAAACGCCTTCAATGTTTCTACAAATCCGTGTGTAATTCCTTGCCGCATTTTCCCCAGATACATAAAATAAAATAAAAGAAGCCCGTTACGCCTTGTCCTAGTGTAGGTGCATACCTTGCTCTCAATGACGCGAGCAGTCCTAACTCCATTAGACTCTTTTATATAACCTCCACTCGAAAACACGGATGAGATGCTTCTGCCGCGAGGTTCGACATCTTTTGGGTGTAATCCTGACTATTTCCACTGCGTGAGCGTTACAACTGGAACTACGTACTTTGCGCCGCGTTTAGTTTGTATGGCTCCTAGTGGATTCTCCTCCAATGCGTTGTTCTAGGTTATTCATCGACACAGCTGGCGTGATAAGAAGCTATGTACATAAGTACATGGATAGTACATAGATGTATGTAATCATAGACGTACGTAGCCACCAGATGGCATGATCCCCGATGACACATATTCTTACCTATTGGTTGCTTTTACTGTTTGTACATGTCCTGAGATGATACGACTGTCATGTACTCAATATATATTTCGAATACATTCAGGTCTATCTATATTTAATCGAGAAATACTCTCGGGCTAGCCTTGATCATCTAGATTTATAGTCATGCAGGTCTGTCCTATAATACGCCTGATCAAATATATATCACAGGTACTGATATTCATGGCTGCACCAGGCTGAGATTTCAGCTGACAAAACTCGCTCAGCCCTGGAGTGATGACCTCGGGACGTAATAAAAAGCTCCCCAGGTCTAGATTGCATTAGAGTCATGATTTGGAATAATGTTATGCACTGCCTCTGTCCACTCCATAAAGTTATTCAGCAATTTCGTTGAACCAATCAAGAGACAGGCAACCATCAATCGGCTCGGTCGATTTCCATTTCCGTCGAGCTCCTCTGGATACCCCGTGGCCAGCCCGGGGCCAATTGGTAAGAAAGTGAATCAACCGAGGTCGATTCAGATTTACCAGAAGAATACAAGAGAGACATGTTCTCCCTGCAAATTTTCCCTGTATCACATTCTGCCAAGTCTCTCCGGTCAACTCTCCGGTTAAAGACGTCATTCTATTCCCGCGAACACTCCAGAGACACTTTCCTATTTTCGCATATCCACGTCAAATTACAACCATGTCGTCTGCTACATCTTTCTTCGACTTTGAGCCTGTCGATAGTACGTGTATTAACTCCTGCGGTGTACCTGCTTATCTTCTCCCCTCATGACATCCAAATACAAGCTCTGAAGAACCTAACCGCTAACGAAACCCCGCATATGAACAGAAAAGGGCGCGCCCTTCCCCCTTTCCTCGCTGAACGGCAAAGTCGTGCTAGTCGTGAACACAGCATCAAAATGCGGCTTCACGCCCCAGTTTGAAGGCCTGGAGAAACTCTACCAGGAGCTGAAGGCCCAGTACCCCGAAGACTTCACCATCATCGGATTTCCATGCAACCAGTTCGGCAGCCAGGACCCTGGCACTGACGATGAGATCCAGTCTTTCTGCCAGCTCAACTACGGCGTCACGTTCCCCGTGCTCGGGAAACTGGATGTGAACGGCGCTAACGCTGCACCTGTGTGGACTTTCCTGAAGGAACAGCAGCCTGGGATCATGGGCATGAAGCGCGTCAAGTGGAATTTTGAGAAGTTCCTCGTCTCCGCCGATGGCAAGGCTGTTAACCGCTGGGCTTCTCTTACCAAGCCCGAGGGACTTAAGGATACCATTGTTAAGGAGATCGAGAAGGCGAAAAAGGAGGGCACTCTTGCTTCGCTGAAGAAGAGTGAGGCTGGTGCGGAGCAGGCTAAACTGTCGTAGGGCTGTGCTTGAGGTGTTATTTTCTGAATGATTGTGGTGATACCTTCATTTCATTTGTTTTCTTGTATCTATATCCCGGTGCTTCTGCTTGTGACATACTCGTTCTTTTCGGTTTACGATTTCGGTCTACGATGGGAATCATACAGTGATAATAGCAATTCGTATCCCAGTCTCTCAAAGTTCGCTGATACATTCTTGGTAAAAGCCATCGCTAGATCAGTTTTTTGGATCTATATCCATCCACCCTTAACATGAGGCGCGACTCTGTATGCCCGAGTGCCCGGTGACCGAATTCAAGCAGATGGACCTCCCTTGGGAACCAGATTCCGCAGGGACAGATCGTAGACAACATCCTCGACCTTCTTGACCTGTAGTCCCACACAAATTAGAAATTTTAGAACTGTGGAATAGACGTTGCAGTGATTTCGACATACGCTGTACTTGATACCGTCGCTGCGCTTGCGCAGGATATCGTTCTTCAAGTTTAAGAGCTGGAACCCAGCGAACAATTCCTTGACAAAGTTGCCAATCTGCATGGGACGGGTGTAATCACCCAGGGTGACTGAATTGACAGCCAAGCGAGCCTGGGAACAAATTAGCTGTGGCCAGACAGAAAACCTCTGAGATCTGGAGAAACAAACCAGTTCCTCAACCATGGCAATGAGCGCCAATAGGTATTCCTCAATCGTCAGGTGGAAGGCATCCTGCTCCTTTAGGTTGACAGGAACTGGCGGAAGAAAGGCGAGTTAGTATTGTACATCAATTTATGCATATAGCACCCATGGTGCTTATCATAGACAGAGATAAGGAAAACGTACTGTCCAGGAACTTGCCCACATCCTCGATGGTCATGAAAGATGTTGAGCTAGGTCCCTTGTGCTCCTGCAGCCCTCCCAGCCATGCGCAAAGCTCAATAGAGGCGACCTGATAGATTGGATCAGCAGAAGTTTTCGGACACCAAATTTCAGAAAACGGACCAGGTTTTGCAGCTCACGGCTCCATAGCCCGTTGTACTTGTAGAAAGGATGTTGGTCTGCCACGGCCTTCAGGCGAGTGACCTCTTCCTTCTGAGCAAGAATTTCCTTGGTGACATCGTCAAGCACGGGCTTCACTATTGTAGAAGTCAGGGAGACGGTCCATGGAAAATTTCAGAAATTTGAGGGCTACACGGCGAAGAAGACGGAAAGAAAAGAGTAGTGATCAAGCAGCGAGTTAAATATACTCAGCACTCTCATCAGACCACCTGAGATAGATAATAACTTACACTGATCAGCGGGCGTAGAATGAGCTCGCGACAGGATAGCCTGTGTGGAACGCCCTGTATCATTCAATATCAGTCCTCATGTTCGACCTGCAACTTCAATCCGGGAGTGCCGTCCCCGACAGGATGAACACCTGGAAGTTCAGGTCGAAGTCACGAATTGCAGAACATACCTCTTCTAGCGAGTGTTTGGACAATCTCGTGTAGCTCCTATCAAATTGTTAGCTACCTGTCGGATTTCCTGGCCCAAGGGTCTTGCTCCGGTGTAGTCTTGGCGCGCGAAGAATTCACCAAGGTCAGGACGCGTTGGTAAGACTTACATCCCGGACGGTGGTCTCCTCGTCGATCTTCGTCTGGAGATTCTCGAAAATGCGTTGGTCAATCATTTTGCTGCTTTGTTGTGGTTGTAGAGAGGTATTTGAGAGGATTGAAGGCAGATCTGCGAGATGTGGTGTTGGAAGCGCGTTACGTCAAATCCATGTTAAAAAATGAGGATAGCTTGCGCAATATGCCACCGTTCTTTGTTCGAGTTGAAACTTATATGGTGAGCTTTTGTAGCACTTCCTGAAATATATTTTACTTTCTGAAGAGGAAATTTCCTCCAGGTGAAGGTCATTTGAGGCACTCTTACTATGATTACGGCTATGATTTACGACTGCGGCCTACAACTATCACCCGCGGAATAATTGATAAAGCTTGTAACGATTCTAAGCTGCTTCGAAATAGATTGGACCTCAGAAAAAGTGACTTGAATGTGACTTGTGTTCACCCCTGCAAAAGCGACTCCGCAGAAAGAAAAAGGAAAAAACGCCGGAACCATGACCATATTTGCAGGTTTTATTGTTGCCAGATCAAGTCTAGTGGTCGTCGTAAATATCGTAAGGAAGCGATACACACCCTGTCCGCCAGAGTGATCACGCAGCGAGGGAGGCAATGCTTAGTATCGGTATCTGGTCGAATAATCTGCAAAGACCGGCTGTTAGCGAATGGTGCTTCCATTCCAGAATGAAGATTGAACGTACCTTTGGGGCTGACCACAAGACCACGGCCCTTCTTGGCGCCCTTGTATATCGTCTCGATGATGTCGATCAATTCTTGCTTGTCCTCGAGCACCCAGTTCAACTTGTTGTTGTTTCCCGTGCCGAAATCGCACATCATATGCTTGTTGCGGTAGAAGAACATAATAGTCATCCGATCGTAGAGCTCGTACATCTGGTTGAAGTCTGGCACCTGGTCAAGGTCGCATAGGTAGATGACAGCAAAATCTGGGGGCAGACCTGTTAGCTGCTGCTCGGTGTGCCTGGAGAATATCTCGGTCACTTACTCTTTACCCGCTCAGCGATTTTGTAAAGGAGCTCATCTTGGCGGATACCTGGGGAAATCGGTTAGTCCGGGACCGTGGCAATGGAACCAGGTGACACTTACAGTCGGGGTCGTGGTCTCGCCCGAATCGGATCACCACTAGGCGTTCTTCTTCAGAAAGGATCGCCTGGTCCACATGCCAAGCTGTTTGCAAGTGAGGAAGGACGATTGAACCCATCACGATAGCTGGTTGTGTGTTGACAGAATGGAGTATGCGGAGTGGGAAAAAAAAGTGACGGCTTATCGATTGGATCCCCGCGATCAAAGCTGTAGCGTCATGTGACCGCTTTGGCTGTTTTGAACGGCGATGGCAAATTGCTGTATTCTGTAGTAGGCTGTTGTCAAAACTGCTTGCCCATGTGTCTGATTCTCAGTGTGTCATGTTACGGTGATGATTTCAAGCTTAACTTGTGGATAACCTCATCCAAGCGCCTCATGTATCCTGGTACCAATAATTACATTGTAGGGTGCGATCTATGATCTACAGCATACGTACGTATATGACAGCAACCTTGGAAGGGACTCTGTAGTGGTAACGGTTTATCTAAACTGCTTTGTCTATGCCCAGTGTGCCATGTTGAGAACGTTTTAGCATCCCAGCTAAGAGCCTCATCTCGGTATCCGACCAAAAAGAACATTGTAGGACGCGATCTGCGATGACATCAATGACAGCTAGGTACTCTATTTAGCTACTTAGCTATAGGGATCAACGAGGACGTTGCACCTTGGGACATTCCAGTGCCACGTAACGGCAAGTTGGCATACATGACGCCTCAATACGGAGTAGACTACTACAAATACAACATGAACAGATAACAGACCATCTTCTCCAAGCGCCCGGACAAGCCGAACAGTTGATGAAAAGGAGTTCGCGTCGATCGGGGGTAGTGTAAGCCCAATGACACTGTGCAACAAGGCATGCGCAAGCACAGGGGCCAAGTCGCGGGGACCAAAAATAGGAATAATCAAAGTGTTTCCTGGACGGAAACTTTCAGAGATTAAACTGAAAAGAACAGATACTACACTTGATCTAAGCCAATAGGCAAAGAGAGCTGAAGAAGAAAGAAAAGAAGAGGAAGGTCTGAGGGTAGCAAGACCTTCTTATACCTCTGCGCGGTGGGTCCCTGCCACTAGCGCAGTTTAGGCGAGCCAATAGGAGATAAGGATTAACCCCGGTGTGGCAAACCACCTACAATATAGGCTTCAGGGCTCCAGGGCTAAGCGACCTGCTGACTCACCAGTCGGCTGACTCACCAAAAGTTGCCCTAGCCTATATCCTAATTGAGCCTAGTGCAACACACCTCTGGCCGTGAATTTTTGATAACCAAATCGGCTCCACCGTGAAATTTAGGAAGTTGTCTTGACCACTCTCTCGCCGGCGCAGGATATTCACCTCTTTGCGACCTTTCCCAATTCTCCAAAATCCATCTCCCTCCAATCCATTAACAATGGCTCCCGCTGCTGTACGTTGAAGTTTAAATCGCTTTGCTGTTCCCCCCACCGGAGTCTCTGCGGCCTCGTCTTCCAGACACTGAAACTCGGTATTGAAAAATCTATCGAGTCTCCGATGTCGTCGAAGACGAATCCACGAGACTACCACCGGGGCTCGACATTATGGAGCAGTAGGCTAATTCGATTCCATGTGGTATAGGCTCGTGGTCGCAAGGCCCAGAAGGTTACCCAGAAGTTCGTTATCAACGCTTCTCAGCCCGCTAGCGACAAGATCTTCGATGTCTCTGCCTTCGAGAAGTTCCTCCACGACCGCATCAAGGTCGAGGGCCGTGTCGGTAACCTCGGTGAGAACGTCGTGATCTCCCAGTCCGGCGATGGCAAGATCGAGGTTGTTGCCCACATCCCCTTCTCCGGCCGCTACCTGAAGTACCTGTGAGTTTTTCTATTTCTTGGGATGATTCCCAATATGTTGGATTGCGGCTTTGCTGACCATTGCGTTTTCTGCGACTCAGCACCAAGAAGTACCTCAAGAAGCAGCAGCTCCGTGACTGGCTCCGCGTCGTCTCCACCTCCAAGGGTGTCTACGAGCTCCGCTTCTACAACGTCGTCAACGACGAGGCTGAGGAGGACGAGGAATAAGCGTGTCGCTCCTGACATGTCTTGTTTCTTTGCCCCGTTGATCGATCGGTTCTAGTCTGTGTGTGTCGCGCTTGGGACGTCTGTATGGATTGAGAGCGAGAGCCATGGGGGATAAAGATTGGTCTATGAGGCCACGAATAAAACTAAAAAAGTTTATACCCTCAGTTTCTTCCTGGTGTAACGCGTAATAATAATGTAGATTGTCCTCAGTTAAAGTGAACATGCATGGGTATCTCATACGAAAAAAAAAAAGGCTGGAAAATAAAGTACCGAGACGGCAATGACGGATACATATCTACAATCATCTGTTGGACTTTCTTTTCTGGACCGTTGTCCATGAAGATGTGGATGTTGATACTTGGCCATCCGGACAGACCAACTTACCCCCCTCGATTTTCTGTCCCTTCTTCTTCAGCTCTTTCCATTTCTCGCCCACCTTCACTCTCACAAGATCACCCGTAGCAATTGAATCCTCCTTGGAGTCATGCCCATTGTCTCCGATCTGAATGTCGCGGCCAAGGTGCCGTTGAACAAGGGCCTTGAGACTTAAACGAATGGGGAGACCCTTGGGGTGGGGGTACAGGAGGACGGTGTCAATGACCGTAGGGTGAATGATACGGCAAGCATTGAGGTCGTTATCGATTGCATGGCCGATAAGAGGTGTTTCAGGCTGAAGGAGCTTCAGAAGCAGCTCGCGTGCCTCCGCCGGTGACTGAACAAGTTGCAAGGGTGGGTTAGTCTTCTTTGTCTCGTCTCCCGCCGGGGAGTGTGTGTTGGGCAATGAAGTGCCATATGGGATGGCGGAAGCATAGTGTTGTGGCGTGACACCGGAAAAGCGTGTGTTGAGGTCTAATACCTCACCCATAGGTCGGACCAGCACATCAAGGAGATCAGAGCCTTTAGGCCAGCTCACCGCAGTGAGACGAATCAGTTCGAGACCCAATGTCGTGTAGCCCATCTCGCAATCAATAGAGACCGGTTCCAGGGGTCCTTTCCCTGGCTGAGATGGGGTTGTTTGGAATTGGAGGATGGATGCAAGTCGCTTGGCCTCCGATACCTTGAACACATGTGTCTCGGCTCTCGTGCAGCCGGTAGACGTTCCCAGTGCTTCGCTGCAGCAGGGGAAGTATGGCTGGGAGGGACCGGTGACATGGTCTGTTTTCTTGCGCTGAGGGTAAACGGGCCGTCCTGGGTGATAGTCACAGCAGCCACCGCCGGCCAGGGTACCATCTTCGCGACGACCTGGAAATACCTGGAATCGTTGACCGCATCTATCACACTTCTCCCAACCTTTGGACTCGTCAACGCCTCTCTTGGCAGTTTCTATATCTGCAGTTGTGGGTGGCTTTGTGACATATCCATGTTGTTCGAGGCCAGCGAGAGGTGTGACTAGCTGGGATACAACTGCGATTTCTTCTGCGGGGGTGAGGCCTGTGCTAATAGGCATCGGAATCGCTTGTGGCTTCTGAATGGGGTTTATCTTATAATATCTCGCATTCAGATGAGACATCACCTCCTTGGTCCATTCGTCAATGCCCATCTTTGTAACCTTGACAATTCGAAGTTTAATAACATTGCTGTAAACGCTTGGACTGTCCCTCGCGAATTTCTCTTCCTCATCCAGCGCCATTGTGATCAGTTCGTCGGGGGTTAGGACGAAAACATCTATTCGAGTTATGCTTGTCTTTTCGTAGCTTTTCATTGAGAGCAGTCATGGCGGAGTGCAGCTTCTGGAGAATGGCAGTCCGACTGCCATGAGTTGCCGGTGCATGGGCAAGCATGCGAGGATTCAAAGTCTCTTTTGGAGCTTTGCGGGGTGGTAGTCGTGATGAAGATCCAGCGGACGTGGTATTGGTACTCTTCACAGGCTCGTTCCCCGAAGGCTCTGGTGGGCCATGGCTTGAGGTAGGCCGGGGGATGTCTTGAGTTCCAGAGATATCTCGTGTGTTCTGATTTTGCTTTGAGGCAACTGGCTTCGATGAGCGCCGTTCCATTTCGAGCGATGATTCTTTCAAACTGTGAGATGGAATAGTACGCCCCGGCGACTTCGTGTTTTCCACTTTGGCCCGCTTGGAAGGAGGGCCATCGTCAGCTGACGCTGGAATCTTCGAATTCAGGGCCTCAGCCGGGGCCGGCTCATTGTCATGAGAGAATATGCATTTCAAAAGAGTGCAATCCTGGCCTTGCGGGCATGAAATTGCCCCAAAAAGCCCGAGCGGCGTGAACATGGTGAATGATGGGTTAAGATGTAAATATCCGGGTCTCAAATACAAGAGCTTGTCGAGGTCGATCACAATTTTAAGAAGTGCATAACGAATATGTATAGCTATCGCTGCCCATCAATCCTTTTGTGTTTGTTTTGTGCACTGAATAGACCGAAACGAGTATTGTAGGCAACGCTTTCGCACTATTTAGCACTAGATAGTGGCGAAGACCATTAAAATGAACCAAAGTGCGTTACACCGAACAAAGCAACTGGAGCTCAAGATACAAAACAGATTTGCAGGGACTAAGAGATCAGGTTGACATCAGTTCAGCGAAGTGATAAGTCAAGGATGCAAAGAAGACAAACATTTAATGCCTTATATTGAAGGCAGAAACTAATGGCATCCATCTTGTTCATGTAACGTAGCTTTATCTTCTGTTTGATTCGAAGTTTTGTTCGAAGCTAAAGAGCCCATCTTGATTCTCGTGATTGAAGACCCAATAATCTCCTGCAACAATGAACATACAGATCTACGTCGTACTTTGGGGCTTCGCCTTCCTCGGCAGTCCCTTATCGCCGATAGCTCCAGGCTGACGCAGATGCGCGGCCTTCGGATGAACAGACATCCGGATTGTGAAATATTAGGCTCCTTTTCTTCTTTCCTCCTGGAATCAGTCTCATTCTCAAAGATGGAATCAAGCGAAACAATGCCAGATACCTCAAAAGCCGACCACCTCTGTGTTCTCATTCACGGGTACGCTGCTTTCCCTTGTCAATGACGTACTGACGAGCCGCTAATGCGATTATACCTTCCCAATAGACTTTGGGGAAACCCTTCGCACCTTAATTATATCGCGTCGGCACTGAGAGACAGATATGGCGGTGACAACCTCTACATCCTCTGCCCGAAAACAAACAGCGGCAACTATACCTACGACGGAATCGAATTGGGCGGAGAAAGAATAGTGCACGAGGTCGAGGAGACGCTGGAATCTCTAGCCGAGAGGGGACAAAAGATCACAAAAATCAGTATGATTGGATATTCGCTTGGTGGTCTGCTCGCGCGCTATGCGATCGGCTTGCTTAATGCACGAGGTTGGCTAGATAAGCTGGAACCCATGAACTTCACGACCTTTGCCACGCCACACGTTGGAGTGAGAGCCCCACTGAAAGGGTACAAGGATCAGATTTTCAATGTCCTAGGGCCGAGGACTATCTCGGCATCTGGCCGCCAAATGTGGCTGGTCGATTCCTTCCGAGATACTGGGCGGCCGCTTCTCGGTGTTTTGGCTGATCCCGAGAGCATCTTCATAACTGGACTGAAGAAGTTCCGGCAGCGCAGTGTTTATGCGAACATCGTCAATGACCGCTCAGTTCTATTCTATACGTCTGGTCTATCTAAAGTGGACCCATTCCGGGATTTGGAAGACGTGAATATCAACTATGTCAAGGATTATGAAGATGTCATTATTGATCCCGACCTTCATGTGCTTCCTCCCGTGGAAAGAAAGCCTGGAAGCGCAACAGCGCGATTCTGGAAGAAAGTAAAATCAGTGACCCTTTGGATACCTCTGTCACTCTTGCTCATTATTCTCGTGCCTCTCGCTTCTACATTCTTCTTGATAAATGCTGGGATCCAAACGTGTCGCAGTTCGAAGCGCATTCGTCTGCATGAAGCTGGCGAAAACGGCGAGCGGTTCGGAAGATACAGAGTACCGGTTTTGCTCCAAGACGCTCATCATGTTGTGGAGCAGGCCTTCGAGAACGTCAATACTATACAAGAACCAGCTTATTTGTCCAACAGCGATACTGAAGTATCTGATGCGGCACCTGAGAAGTCTAGATCGTCTTTCTCGGACTCTGCGCAAAAAGATGCCGACGTCGAGTCTTCATCGGCTAGACGTTTATCAACGGAGGTCTCGACACATTCTCCTAAGCTTGCATTGACTCACGAACAATTTGGCATAATTGATTCCCTTAACGCCGTGGGAGTTCGGAAATATCCAGTCCATATACAGAAGCACCACCACAGCCATGCAGCTATCATCGTCCGGGCCGAGAAGGATGGGTTCCGAGAGGGCAAGATTGTGATGAAGCATTGGCTAGACAATGAGTTCGTGTTATGATTTTGTGATTAACCTAGAGCCTTCCTCGAGCGTTAGAGCATGTATTTGTAGTCTCAACATCCCCACCCATTTAATCCTTGAATATTACTTTATATGACCATAATGAGAAGATTCAAAGCTATGCCTCAATCCCCGGAGAGACATCATAAGACACCCGACTAATTCCCTTTTGCCGACTGATTTTGCGGATAACAACAGACCCAACCAAGCTCGTCCTCGCAACATGCGTACCACCACAGGGATTGTGGTCGAGCCCACCTATACTCGCAATCCGGGTACGACCATCATGAGAGCGACCCTCTTCAGCACCCTCCCCACCCCCAACCTGCGCGACACCTTGCAGCCATGAAATGAGAATGGGCAGATCCAGCCGCACAAGCTCATCCACCTTCTCCTGGATAACCGGCTTGTGCTCGTTATACAACAACCCCTCATACTCCATAGAAGCCTCTCTCGGGAAATGATTCGCCTTGACCTTTTTCTTATCCGGCATCAGAACCTGCATGGCAAGTCCAACGATATGACCGGCTGTATGGAGCCGGGAATGATAGTTGCGTTTTGAGTCATCGACCTTCTGAACGACGGACTGGCCCGCGACGAAGGAAGCGGTGGAGTCTAGGAATTTTCCAAAATGCAGGAACCGCCCATCGGGCGTCTTGCGTACCAGCGAGACTTCAAATGTGGGATCTTGGTCTACCGGTCCAATTGCGCCGGTGTCGCTAGGCTGTCCGCCGCCTTGTGCGTAGAAGATAGTCTGGCGCATGGTAATTGCATTATCTTCCGCGGGCACGTTTTTGGCTAAACTTTTTTCTTCTTCGGAGAGTGAAGTCATTGACTGAAGGGATAGAACCTCCGTCGTCAGTGTTCGCAGTGTGGCATCGTCGAGGTACACTGCCTCTGTTCTGGGGACCTGGGTTGGTACGTTAGTGAGGGTATATCGGGTTAAAACTGGAGAGCCCATACCATTATTTTTACAGGTGCTGCTTTTACGCTGATGAATACCCTGGATATAATGTTCTAGGAGGGAAGTTCTGTTTTGTATGCGAGGACTTTCCCGTATAGTGGGTCATGTCAACCATAGGGCGGAAGTCCTCAATATTCAAATATTCAGGCTTCTAATTTTTAGTTAACCTCTCCTTGTCGTGGATATCGGTACTACGTATCATTTCATTTACTTAATTTCAAACGTTCCTTTATCATTGATATTGCAGAATCCATCTAATGGTTCCAGTAGTGCTATGTAGGGGTATCTAACCCATATTGGAATTGTATGTGTAAAAAGCCTGTACCATGAAAGACAAAACGCAGAAGTTCAAGAGCTCTTGAACTGGGAATCATATGAGAGCAGGTCGTAAACAAAAGCGTAGGAATGGACTAGATTGAGGATGCAAAACTGGTTGCCGAAGGAAGCGCAGCCATGAGTGAAAGAAGATCACATCATACCGAGATCTACTTATTTGGGAACTTCTTCGCTGGTTTCATAGTCGAGCTCGGAAACAGTCACGCCCTTGGAGGACTTTCGGTGCTCGCGCTCGATAGCAAACTTGACGGCATCAAAAACATTATCGCATATCTTCCTGGGTGGATAGCGCGGGACAGCACCATCCTGGTAAACTCCAGTCTTAACTAAAATTGAGAACCAATCATTTTCCGTGGTCTCGTTGAATTCATTTGTACCACGGATGTCGGAGTCCGGAGTATCGCCGATGAAGTACACGGTAGATGGTGGCTTGTCGATGGCGCACGAGTCCTTTCGCCACTTTTGTAGAAGCCGGGTGGCGAATGCATAAGTTCCGAGCTGCGGCTTGCCGAAGGCGATTGTGTTCAGATCTTTGCCGGTGATAGCCGTGTAAACGGCCTCGAGCGAAGCGCGTAGCGCTCCCATTCCAAGACGTGAATGTTCATGCGATGTTGACCAAACCACATCGGTGTGCGAGAAGAAGACAGGCGGGCCTTCGGTGAAGATCTCCGACCGTGTATTCAACCAGCCGTCTTTGGTCATGAGGCAGTCCAAAATGATTTGCTGGTCGCCGGCCCAGTCGCGACTATCTGCAAAAACGAAGATTGCTTCGATATGGACCTTGTCTCAGATCGAGCAACCGCGAATTCTCGTGCTCCTCATCCGTCAACGTTCGGAACGGCGTAGTATCATGCCTCGTCTTGATGATATCTCCGGGTGTGATAACATCCTTGAACCCGTATCCTTCAGCCACGACGCGGCATTTCTCGCCTTCGCCACCAACCACCAGGACGGTGTGGTATCGCTCTGCCATTTCGCGCATGGGCGTGTGGCCGCAGATGAATTGGCCAGGGTCGACTTCCAGGTCGAGTTGTTTGCTGAGATCGAGGCATCGCTCCTTCTCCGTCTTTCCGCCACCGTTGGTCAGGAAAATATAAGGGCTAGGATATTTCTGTCAGATTTTAAATTCCTCTGCCTTTTTTTTCGCTGGCAATTGTTACCCCTCACCGGGCCGAGGTGTCCAGGTGAGGGGAAAGGATGGAATAACAACACAGAATACTTACACTTTGACTCCGTAGGGGTTTTCACCATTGATATACTTCATGGCATCAACGGCTTCAGGAATAGGCTCGCCGCCCTTGATGAGAACGCCATCGATGTCGAATGCTAGTGCAAAATCATCGCTAGTAACCTTTGGAGGGTTTTTCATAGGCGTGTTGATTGGTGAAGTATCAGAGACTTGTTTGGTCATATTAGATTTGAAGATATGGTCAGAAGAGAAATTCATGAAATGCTTCGGGACGACGACATTGGGGCCATAGAGATCGGCCCGAGCGGTGTCCATGTCGAGTCGCACCCTTCCGGTGCCTAGTGTATTGGCCATTGTGAAAGATCAAGGGTGTGGGGGCAGCGGGTACAATGACGATGTTGATCGCTGCCTCGGTGACCTAATATAATCACTTCACGTCAAATCCCTTAGGAGAGTCAAGCTATTTCTGCGGTTGATATGTAACTTGATGTGCTGCAGAATCAGAGCGGATAGAGTCGCGCAAATTGAATCCGAGTAAATATGTCTGTAGAGTACCATATACTCTCTGTAGAGTACTCTCTGTTATACATATGTGTAGATGGAGCATGTGGGGATCAGGGGCCATTAATATAGCGTGAGGCCTCAAAGGAAGGGGGTTTGACATCATCGACCCTTCTACCCCCCAAAAAAATATGGGGCCTTAGTTCAGGCTCAGACCTCGTCATTCTGTACCTAGGTATGTTGTATGGGTTAGAACAAATTTAGAGAAAAAAAGAAGTTCCGACCCACAACGGTACATCCTTGGCGCTGTACGGACTACGGAGTATAGTCGGGTTGATGACGCTGATTTGATAAGAAACACACCTGGGCATCGGATTTGGGAAGTGGACTTCCTGGGAGGTTGAGGAATAGAGGATTCCAGGCTTCGCAAATCAGAGCCAATGATGATGGTAAGATTTAGCACGGTTTAACAAGATCGGACCGCTTCGAGCCTTTTTGCGTGCTTCCGGCTTGCTGAATATAACATACACATCCATGGATGTCCTGGGTAAAAAGTGCCTCTTCCGTTCTTCGGAGTATCGCGTATTTCAAATCCACAGGGCATATCAGGCCGTTGACGTCATTCTCAGGGAAACCAAAGTAAATTAACAACCATTCATGGGTCTATGTCCTATACCGTATGAAGTAAGGCCATGGTATCCGAATCTGACGTTGTGAGTGGTGAAGAATAGGGCGTGGACGGGGTATCCTGGCTGATACTACGTAACTCGGACTAGCATGCATTGGGCTAAGGAATGCAAGCCATAACCAAAACAGTTTGGATAAAGCGATCAATTGTCTTTTATTAATACACATCAAACATACGCATGTAGAGATAAGTAGGCGCCAGGAGCAGATGCCCTCGTCTTGCTATTCTGAATTCTCAGTGCAAAGCACACTTTGATGCCCTAAACACGGTCCAAGGAACTCGTGATAATATACGGGATACCTGCCAGACTTGGTCAGAGCATCGGGTTCTCTTTAGCCGATGGCGGATTCAGCCCTTCATCAAAGAATGTAACGTGGAGGGGGCGTATGCTAGGGCGCCATACGCGGCTAACCGTAGCAGCTTCGTGTAGGGAATATTGCACCTGATTCGTATTGAGGGGAAAGGAAGCCGGATTGTTGGCTTTAGCTTGGATCCGAGCACAGTCTGTGCACATGGGGAGCAGTTACGATCACGTAGACAGCTGAGTATGGTCGGGGTTGAGATAAGTCCGAGGCCTAGGTTAGTGGGTTACTTCTGAATGTTCTGTTGCCTAGGTAGGTGTTGAAATGAAGATTTTGACAAAGAAACAAACGGAAGACCTCGGCGGAAAGAGAGATGTATCTGCCAACACACGAAGATCACGATCGACAGAATCCGGGGTAGAGACCTGCTGGCTTCTCCACTGGGCCGCTATGTTGTATAGTTCCTATACCTTTGGAGATCTTTATTCGATGCTATCTACACAATTAATGGGAATATCCGTAGCGCCAATCACATCTTCTGTAAACTCAGCCACAAGGAACTTATTGGCAGGTAGCAATGTAGGTTTTTTGATACAAGTCTCTGGGCCCCTATGGCGTATTTCGTGCTGGATGAATTTATCCCAGTAGAATCTTGAGATAGAAATAAAAAAAGGCAAGGATGAAAATACGACGGTCCATCAATGTATTGAAGGAAGAGAGAGATCTCTGTGCGCCTACAGCCTGGACAAAGCAATCCTAAACCAAGAAGTTCTGCACAGAGTCCAAAGCAGGGCTCCTCTGGAAGATATAGAGTCCTCAATCCCAGACGTCAGATCCGGAGTCCTCCGCAAGGTCATCCATAAGAGCATCAAGGTCCGTTCCATCATCAATATCGGCCCAATCCTCAAAAAACACGTCTTCCTCTCCATAGTCGTCCTCCCAGGGAAGCGACAGTGGTTTGCGCGGATGATAGGACATGCGGTGGTAAAAGGGCAGGCATTCGCAGGAACACACGTTGTACTTGGGCATATCGATAGGATAAGGAACGGGGACCATGGACATGTCCACATTCAGCTCTGCAAACTTGCTTTTCCAGGTGTTGCCCTCTTGACATATCTCGGTGGCCGGGGGATTGGACTTGGATTCATTGATTGATGGAAGGTGCTCTATAATTTCCGGTACCTCGCAGGTAAAGCGACGCAGCTTTGGGAGATCTCCATCTTTCACCATCTCGTAGATAGCCGAAGGAAGCCAGCTCTTCACTTCATCGTATCGTATCGTAAGACTTTCGAGATTCGGCGGCAGAATATCATCCGGAGGATCCAGTTCTATGCATTCCCTCCCTGCAAGTGTGGCGAGGGTCGTTGTGAGATGCTTGAGGCGGACTAGTTCACCGAAGTCTGTCTCCACATCAGATCCCCAGTAAAGATCGTAATCTATGTATTCCAGCGAATTGTCATGTTTGAGCGCTGATTGAATGTAGCAATGGGTGTCTCCTTCGGGGTCTACCATCTCCTGTGACCTAGGACCTCTGAAGGTGAACCGCTTCAATGCTGTTGGATATCCGAGCACTGTTTGGAGGTCAAACGGATTTATGACGCAGTTCAAAAGGGTCAATTCCTCCAACGGCGATGTAGATAATGCCGAATTTGGAAGGCTAGACTGGGAAATTTGGCAAGTAGCGCCAGTGATACAGAGCTTTCGTAAACTTGGATGACAGAAGAGGGCTTCATTGAAACTTGGTATGCATCTACCGTCCATCTTAGTATCGTGCACGTCATGATTATAGTCGCTTCCGAGGTGGCCTGATAACGTTAGATTTTCGATTCAATGGAGAGAGTCAGTTATAGAACTCACAAACGCGCAGAGCGGGCAACCCCGGCGGGTTCTGAAGAGAAGCGTGCCAGAACAAAGTTTCGGCAGCCCCATCTTGCATGCAAGTAAGCTCGTGATCTGGAGGACTGAACGACGATTCTCCTGGAGGTCCATATCCCAACCCTCGGTACTCTTTGATGCTTCCTGACCCGGAGGCAACCTTTTTCACCCATCGCATCACGGCGTCATCTCTGGCATGTGTACTGGCCCACCGAGTAGAATCAAAGGGCCTGGGATTTCTTCTTAAACTCAATTTCTCCAGATTCGGCAAAGTCACAGCGGCTTTGTAGAAATTGAGATGACGGTGAGACCAGATTTCTGACCCGGTATCCTGCTTGTGTCGAATCTCGCGAATGAGTGATGCTAACTCTGGACGCTTCTCTATCGTGAGAGCAAGACGAGCACCGCTTTCTGAATTGAACAGGCGTACGGATTTGTAGAGCTGAGGGTCAATTCTGGAATAAAGCGCGGGGCATGTTTGAGCAAGTCGGCTCAGATGTTGGGCAGATTCTTCTTCACGTAGGTATTCAATGATGATATCCCAGAGCTCCAGAGGGAAGACGGGCAGTAATGTGGACCTCTGCACGAGCGTTCGGTCCGTTGGAGTGGCCATTGGTGATGGACCAAGAGGACGGATGATGTTGAATTGCGAGCACACCTATGGTAAAAAGATCCAGATGTCCACAGGTGATGGGTTTTGTACTCTTTTTGGCGGGACCCCAGCTTCTTATCTAAGCCCCGCCAATATCGGGTCCACGGGTGACTCCAGGCTTGTATGTTTGACACGTTTTCGCGTTTCCTACATTTTCTTTCTTTTAAAAATGGAATGATTTCCAGATCCAAAGAGATACAAAGTCGAAGAAATCTAAAAAAAGAACCTACATATGTATAATACGAGGAGCCAGATCGGTTATTGAAGTTCTATATGTGCAATTGGATGTTCTCATACAATACAAACGAAATTCAAAAATTCAAAGCTCTCCGCCCGTATGAAAGGACATGGTACTTAATATACAACAAAGGAAAACTACATATATGTATCATGATACCATAAATCTCTGACCACACAATCCCATAAAAACAAAAACAAAAAAACAAACTATTAATCAACACGAAGAATCAAATCATCGCCCCTCCTCGATGGCGTCAAATTCCGACTGGTCGGAGAAACACGATTCGACACAGCGTGGGCCTTCTTCTTCGGACTATCGGGATAATGCACAGCACCCGGAAACATATCTGAAGGATACGGCAGTTCCCCAGACGGTTCTCGGGACCTCGGCGGCACAAGGGCGCGTCCACGCTCCAGCCACAAATCATCTGGGCAGTATGGCGCAACGACTTCGCTGGGCGGACGTGGACTGTTGCGAATATCCACACGCTTGATGTCATTTCCGCGTATGATCCGCGGCCTGGATACTATCTCCGAGCCTGGGGGAAGGGTTGATGACGATGATGGGGTGGGGCAGGGTTGAGGCGCCTGTCGTCCTGGTGATAAGCTGCGGTCCTTGGGTTGGGTATGGATGGTGTTGGCAGGGGCGGCGAAGAGGACGTTTGGGTTTAGGGAGGAGTAGGAGGTTTGGGAGTTTTGTGAGGTTTCAGAGGTGTCGGGGGTTTCGTTGGTTGCAGCGCTACTGTCTGATGAAGAGGCTCCGAATGCCGGGTTGGGATTGAATGGGGGTGCTAGGGTACTCAGGGCCCCGGATCTTTGGTTGAAGTGGCCTGCTGGCAATCCCTTTTTGAATGCGCGTGGGTTGGCTGGCAGTCCTGCGAGTTTCGGCTGGACCCCTAGCCTTGGGGAGTCGTTTTGTATCATTCCTGCTGTCGCCGCCGCTGCCGCCGCCGCCGCAGCTTGCTGACTTTCGTCTTCTTCAAAGAGAGTCTCTCCACTAGGTGGCCGATGACTCCACTTAAGTGGCTTTGGGTATAGTCCAGCTGTAGGATCTGGGAGCAGTCGGGCCACACTATGCTGTGATGATTGTGTCCGAGGCGAAGATTCCCAGTCCGAGTCGGAGCTGATGGCAAACCCTATTCGTTCTTGGCCTTTAGGTTCTTTGCTCTGGCCCAAGTTATGTACCGTGGCGGATTGCGGTGAGTATCGTGATACTGGTTGAACGCTTGCCATTGAATGGAAAGTACATGGCCGCTGTAACATCGTCTCGCGGTCACTCGCTGGGCTGTATGAAGACCCTAGGCCCAAACCCTCTCTTGGGAGCTGTGGCATGGGCTTCAAGAAGTCACGAGGCTCAGACATGGCACCTCCAATCTCGAAAACGTGTGGCGCCGCCTGTTCCCGCTGCTTTCGTCGCCATCTCTTGCAGCAGTAAAACACAGCAACACCGATGATAAAAGACCCTGCTACACCTGATGCTACTGACATTCCAATGACCGCCGCTGGAGTGATACCATGATCACCTTTTCTATTCGTATCTTCAGAAGAATCACTGGAGATCTGTCCAGTAGATGATGTTGGTTCCACTGGAGACCCTGAAGATGAAGACGCATCATAGGATGTGATTTCAGAAGTCTGACTGGAAGTAGTTGACGTTGGTGTCGATGCCGAGGCCGCTGTAGATGTTGTCACAGAGGCCTCCGAAGTGTGTTCGGCTGTCGAAGAGGAGCTAGTTGATATTGTCTCCGCAGTAGTTTTTTTATCACTCGGCTTTGTTGTACTCGTATCGGAAAAGACTGTCGCCGTAATCGTCTGGTGAGTTTTCGGAAGAGCTTCGGATACCGAGTCACATATGTGATAAGCCTTCGATTTTGCGATGACTGTCTGTGAGCATACAGACAGAACACAGCTCAAAGCCGCTTCCCCCAATGTCAAGCTACTAGTTGTCGGGGTGCGGCAAAGACATTTGATGTTGGACGGTGACGTGCATTCCATGGGCGTGTATTCGGACTTGATGAAGCTATCAACGCAGTCCTTAGCGCAGTCCGGGACCATGCCATACAGATCTGAGTTCGATGCATCTTCGGCGGCAGAGCAGAGGGTGAGTATGAGGAGGATCGCGATGAGTATCCTGTGGATAGGAAGGAGGAGCATTCTGCGCTAGCCCTATACACATTTCCCATGAGCAACGATATGCCATGTATGCTTCTCACATCAACCAACCTTGTATAGTCCTGCATGGGAGTGATTACCCGTGGAAACTTGTGCATGCGGTTACCATAGTTGGTAGATGTGTCTGTGAATTGGATAATAGATAGATGGCGTGAAGGTAGCCGCAACGCCAGAAAGAAGAAGTAGACGCCAAACAAACTACCGAAAGTGGGACTCTAATCTAGTTAAACACGAAGTCAGAGGGCGACATCACTCTAGGCGCGAGGCAAAACTGTCCATGACGCCCATCGACTGTTGGGCCAAGTATCTGCATTTCGATATCATTCTGAAACACAGTGCTTGAGGCTGTGTATGTATAGGCGCTATAGTGAAACAGTATTATATTTGGAATAGTAACATCCCCCCAAGAGACGAATCGTTGTAGACTTAAAGCGCCCTGTCAGGATGAGGGGCCAGGTAAGCGGCTTCGATACGCGCCGGGCCATCGAAAGCGCTTAGGCTGCATAACGAGTTGCGGATGGGGCCGGGCTAGGTTTCAGTTTTCCAAATTTTGTGGATGAGAGCGACTGGGATTCGTTGTTTTGGGCAATTCAACGCTCTGCTCGGTACGGAGTACATCGTCGTGGTTGGTTTCTCTTTGATGCGGGTTACCCGCCTGACGATGATTTAGTCTGTTTCTGGAACACTTCGACTCGCTCAGAGATTCGCACAGGTCGATGATCCAAGTGGCCAAAGTCACCTGCTTCCTGTCGTGTTACCTGTTTGATTTTGTTTTCGGGAGTTGGTGATGGGCTCCCCCGGTATGCTCTCGGAACAGTCTACGGAGCAGTTGCACCCGCCTTATGCAACGCTTTGCGCCAATCACTTCAACTATTGAAATGGAGACCTGTCTGAGGCCCACAAGGCTCATTATGTTAGGATCGAATCTTGCCCAGGTGTTTGATTTGCTGTTTTGCGTGTTACGATAGGTACTGTATGGAGTACGCGATACATGTACATCCAATCTACATGTTTTCTGTACTCTCCTACTCAAGGAACTCTTGTGGTTTATTGTAGACCCATGAATCAGAAAAACTAGCCAACGGCAGGCATTGGTACGAAACAACGCAAAGTCAGGCCGTATGAGCTGGTATCATTCATAACGCAAAAGTAAAAACCCGCAGTAGTGAGCAAGACAAAGGAAAGGAAGCAAAACAAAAACATAACTATGCGACCACGCAAAATATTAGGGAATTATGGACATCATGCCAGGACTCGTGTCGGACCCGACGCCAAGTGGTAGAGGCTGCATTAGGCTAGTCTCAACCGGACCTCCACGGAATCACATTGACACCGACGCTCAGGATATCGAATCGCACCGACCCTTACTCAAAGCGCAAGGCAAGAGCAAGGGCTGTGAACTTGGTCGCAGTGCATCGCCTTTCAAGGGATATTAGTCTTGGAAAGCTTTGGTAGCGAGGGTGTCCCGGGAGGTGGGTATCTCTAGTATTTGAAGATAATGTAGCTGTAATATGGTCAGCAGCTGTTACAGGAGGTTGCAGACTCGTCAAATAAACACATACATGGCGTGGATGACACCGGGAATCCATCCCAGAATGGTCAATAAGATGTTGATCAGGAAATCAGCACCACATCCGCGCTCCAGGAAGACACCCAGAGGAGGGAGGATAATGGCAAAGATAATCTTGCAGATGTCACTGTTGACGATGTTAGTAGACTGGACGTCTCACAGGCAATAACGCAATACGGAGAGCTGTTGAGGATGACAGGGTGCCAGGGCGGAAGGTAGGGCTTAGAAGCCCCTATAACATAGACAATGGACAACTTACGAAGCGGTGAAAGGCATGATGGGCAGATTTGATTTGAAATTGTTAAGGAAGAAATGGGAAGGGAAAGTGGAGGGAGCGGAAGTCTTAAAAGGGGACAAGGCTGAGAGCTTGGGTCATTACATCATGGCCCTGTGGCTCAGAGGGAAAATGAAAAAAAAAGTGGGAAAAATACCCAATTCTGGCCCATTTTGGCTCAAGGCAGCGACAAATTGTGGCTTATCTTACACAGTAGGTTTTTTATTTCTATTATTTTTGTTATTCTCATTATTTTCGTTACTTTCGTATTAATTCTTCTTAATATTTTAATTTTAACTTGCGGTGATCGCTATTACTACTGCCTACGGAGTCCAATTATTATTGCATTCTGTCCAGGGTTGCCAAGATTAATGATCTTCTGTGCTGGCGGCTATGACCAGCTTCTCTCACCTATCCGGTTCATTCTTTTGCTCGCTGCCTGGAGGAATCTTGGCGGGAATTAGCCTGCTTTTTAATAAAAAAATTCAGCTTTTAATCTTCGACTTTCCCAGTTTCCTATTTTCTATATTTGAGCGTATATGTTGTACAGTACGGAGTACAGGGTTCTTTGTTACCTACATGTACTCCGTACTCTGTAATATGTAGCTATGCGCCCATGCTGCAGTCGAAGTCTCATGATAGCGACGATCTCCACAACCACCATCACTTCTAAACTTGGCGTGAATCTTTACTTGCTTAGGTCTGCCAAGTGCTTGCTGTAGGTCGTGGCCAGGCAACTCAGCCCTATGATGGGTAGCCCCCACCTGGGCACCTGCCAAGCGCCTGGTATCGGCATGTGGTTGGCGTTTATGATTTGACTGAAATAGAAAAGTGGCTGGGGTCAATTGTTCGTGACACAAAGAGATAAGCATTGAGGCGAGGGACTATGTACACGCGTTCTATACCAAATTTAGAGGGAAATCACTAGCACACATAATGTACGGAGTACTAGTCAACAGGCTGATCAAGTGGGTTTACACATCGTTTTCCCGCCTGGGCAAAATCAGCATCGCCTAACAAGGACATCGGCAGTTCCACTACTCCGTACGGAACGTCGAGATCTGGTGCAACAGCCACAAACTCCGACCAAGACTATTGCCAGCCTCTTCCAATGTCATCGGATAAGTCCCCACTCGCAGTGAGTCTACTCCGTACTAGTGTTTCACGAGTCGCTACAAGTGGTTCTGTACTTCCTGCAGGAGACCCACCTTGCAGACTTGATATTCAGTACCGCTACTTTTCTCATGTTGACAGAGCGTCTGCGTGTTCTCCAGAACCGCCTGGTACCAGTGATCTAGATTCCCTTCCGGCTTCTCTAGCGTCCTGTGAGAGGCAAGCATCCTGGCCTTTCAAGCCTCGGCGTCTGGTGCCTTGGGGTTAGATAAATCACGCTCATACCTGGGTATCCATTGGTGCTTTTAGATGGAAGATACAGATGCCTTTTCCCGGACCTCCTGAGAACACATTAGTATAGCCTGTCCATAAGTGCGCCAATGTGATGTTCACTTGGATGCAGCCTGGATAATGGGGGTGTAGCCGTTTTATCTGTGCCAATGGGAACCGGTATTTGAACAGCCCTCTGGTCTCCGGGGCTCTCAGGGCTTTGTATGGTGGATTCGCATAGGGTATTCCTTTGCACATATGTACCTAGGTAATGTATGGCTGGTCTTAGTCGCAGCGACACTGTTTCTTTCAACAGGCTCCACACGACAAGGACAGTTGATTCCACTGATGCATCATTATGACCGGACGGCCATGACTAACTCGCTGCATCGTCGGTATCTTTATTTCCCTGAAGCTTGGGAGAATAAGTATAAAATGAACAAGGAAGGTAGGCAGCTTATACGGCCTTGCCATGTTTCATGTTTCTTGGATGTTTGTCAAAACACATAAAATGGGAAGACGACTTTTTCTGTATGTTGTATCTAACCATGGAATATATCCAGAGATCTCCGCGATCTTCCGTGGAGGTTCTTGCTTAAATCGGGTTAGCTTGCTATATTGAGGACTTCACCCCTACCAAGGTTTGCTCTATATCGAAAATAAGCTTGGCCCAAGTTTAACGAATCAAGCCGAAGTTCATGTCAAGTATGTGCCGTGATAGTATCGTATAGTCTACATACATACATGTACTACTGTGTAGTGATCTGATGTACGTGCGGTAAAAACAGATGTTCCGCTCCGCGACCCACTATCCTCCGCAATGACTTCCGCATTTTCCTAATTGGACCAGCTTTGACCTTGGTATCTCAATGTCAATGAGATTCAAACAGATGAGGGTAGTCCTCAATCCCGGACGCTGGCAGCTTAGAGGCTTGCGCAAAGCCCCTGGAAGCTTCCATCACGCAAATAGATGGTACGCGACACAGAACCTGGCCAAAGGTGGGCCTTTTGCATACACATGGCTCACGAAGACAGCAGAAGAGACAGTGAGCAAAATCAACATTTCTATACTTTTGATTTTTAAGCTAAATAACAACAGACCCCGGATGATATTCTGACCAGTCTTCCTTCAGGGCCCGCGAGCCCATCAGCTGCACCCGCTTCTATCCCTCTCCTCCTCGTCACACCAAGCTTCGCCCACTGGCTTGATTCTTCTAGCCCTTTCTTGTCACAATTTCTCAGTCGCCTTTACGGCAACTCCCCAGACAAAGATACTCTATATGCCGTTACAGCCGTGGTTGATGCACTCCCGGATACTACATCCCAAGGCCCAAACTTAAGTGAATCCGAAGGGCTGTCGCTTCTGGCTGTAGGACAAGCAGGTGTCCAGGCAAAGGCTGCACCGGCCCGTCTCATTAGAAGCTCTGCCAGCGAGGAGACCAATCTCTTGTTTTCATTCCAAACCGAAGTGATTGGTCAACCTGCGCACGAAGTTGGATTACGCCTAGCGAACACTATATTTGTCAATGGGAGAGAAACAACAATCTTTGGTACACGTTGGCTTTGGGATAAAACCTCAAACGGATATGTTTTGGACAAATCAGTCGATTTCACAAGCTGCATGGTTACAGCCTCTTCCCAGGCTGTAGATACCGCATTGGAGTTGCCATTGCATCCAGTGACTGACCGACGAAGAGTCATGACTAGCATGGGAAACATTTTACGGCAACTAGCAAAATCGACGGATGTGAGGTCGATGGACACAATGCCTGCTTCGTCGGAGCTCGAGAAGGAACTTCCGCGTTATATCGCAGAACATAATATCATTGACCAGCGTGTATCCGTATGGGCACTTGTCGAGAAACCCGAGTTAGAGGTGGCTGGTTCAGGTTCATCTACGCATGATCGCTTGATCCAATCTCTGTACCAAGGTGGGAAATTGCACCGTGTCATGAGCGGTGGGGGTGGATGGGGAAAGAAACAAGGCCTTCTTTCTCTGGATCCTGAAATCAGCTTCTCGGGGACTGCCAACCGAGACGATCTTGTCGCATTGAGTCAAGTTTTTGACCCTGACACCACACAGTTGGACACACTCCCTTCTATTGATAAGGGAATTACTGTAGATGATCTATCTCTACTTTCACAGGTTGCTACCGCAGGTGACTATATTCAGTTCTTTGTGTCGGTAGAACCGACTGGGGCACAGGGTAAAGTTTCGAGCAATCATGACTCGCAGGAAGAGCCTATCAGCTATCACTTTGGAATGATAGCTGATCCTATGGAATCTGAGACACATGTCACGCATGAGGACAACAATGGGATCATTTCTCTGCCTCGCACCTTTGGAGCATTGTCCGAGAAGGCGATTGCCTACTCGCAGCCCATCAAAGGTGAGATGGAGTCGGAGTCGTGCACGAAACTGGATATTCCAGGATCTCGAATTGTCCTCGAAACTGTATAAACAAAATGATACATGTACAATAATGCAACACATAATCAAGTGAACAAACCCAATCCCAGCTGAATTTATACATGTCACATATGCTGTAGTCATTACCCTGTCCCAGTGGATACGCCAAGACATTACACGTGACCCAGAGAGGCCAGCATGTTTGCCGTCGACCTCCAAGCCTCTGGACTCTCCATCATCCCCGACCGCATCCTAGTGAGCTTGCCGACCTCGGGTGTTTCTATTTCATTTTAAAGCTCAAAATACTCCACGAGAACCTCGTTAGGTTGTCTTTCATCAAAATGGCAACTGAACTTTGGTAAGTCGTCATCCAAACCTCGCTCCAGCCCCTGGGTGCTCGACTGCTTCCGATCGACACCTTGCTATCGAGCCCGTAATCCCCCAGTATTTATGGACCAGCCTTGCTAACATTTGGATTTTGACAGCCCCGTCTATGCGGTGAGTCTTACTATATACTAGATCCCGACACTCGAGCACGACCAAGCTGATCGCCCATGTCTCGGCCTCTCCGCGTCATCCACCTGCTCACAATGCATCGGAATGATAACTAATCTTTTTCCTTTAGCCCTTCTTTGGCGCGCTGGGCTGCACCTCCGCTATTGTTTTCACCTGCTTCGGTGCCGCATATGGAACTGCTAAGGCTGGTGTCGGAGTTTGCTCCATGGCCGTCCTCCGCCCTGACCTGATCGTCAAGAGTACGTTGATTTGGACAAGAGCTCTGCTGCTTTTGGCGACGAGATATTCCTAGCCTCGCGCAAAGACATATGGCAACAATTTGCTGACTCGGTTTCCAGACATTGTCCCCATTGTCATGGCGGGTATCATTGGTATCTACGGTCTTGTTGTGTCCGTCCTGGTCGCCAACGACTTGACCCAGAAGCTTCCTCTCTACACTGGTTTCATCCAGCTCGGTGCTGGTCTGTCTGTCGGTCTGGCTGGTCTTGCTGCAGGGTAAGTTTGCGATACAGCGTATCTCCCATTGTTCTAGAGCTTTGTTCCTAACTCGGATGTTAGTTTCGCTATTGGTATTGTTGGTGACGCGGGTGTTCGTGGAACGGCTCAACAGCCTAGACTGTATGTCGGAATGATTCTGATTCTCATTTTCGCTGAAGTCTTGGGTAAGTTGTGGCTGCTTACCATACCAATTTGTATAATCGCATCTAACCACTTACCCCCTGGCAGGTCTGTACGGGTTGATTGTTGCTCTTCTCATGAACTCTCGCTCGAAAGCAGTCTGTTAAACGAAAGACCTCCCGCCGCATGCCGGGTGAGGGACCTCGAATCGCCGATGGAACGCACGCGATTCCTGGTTCATTCCCGGATGTGCATTCCCAACATCTCCCCGACGCAAACCAATGTGCCTCTTCGGCCGGGGAAGCTGACATGATAAGTTGGTGTGGGTGCAGGATCGAATGGCATCGGAAAATGATAGATCGGTTTCAGCCCATTTGAGAGTGAAGATTCGATGATTGAGTGGATGTAGTATCGGGAATCTGTTCAAGCATTCGTCATGGACTCGGTGGATAGGTGTGGGTAGATATTGGATTTTTTTTTTGGCTTTACATTGCATGACACCGCGCTGGACTCTGTACTTTATATGAAATTCGCTGATCCGGGACTTAGGTGTCTCCGTCCTCTCTTCCGTTATGGTGGTTTGGCAGGATCTTCTGTAAGGAGTTTCTTGTTTCTTTACTTCTCTGTCTTCAATGTCCCCCGTGGACATATGATTCTTCTATATCGGGATTGGTTAATTGTTTATGGAGTTTCCTTCGCCACCTAGTTTTTGGGTTTGGTAGGACAGTGAACGCCAATGTATGCATTCAGCCTTCCGGTGTTGTCGCTCCTAGACAGATTCTTGGGATGTATAGATATTCCCAGCTCCTGAAATACTGTGGTGAAGTGTATAAGAAATGACGATCTCAAGTCGAGATATTCCCTACTCTTTTGCTACATGGTCAGATTTACTGAGATAAACCTGAAACCAATCAGACAAAGTATAATGGAAAATCCAGTGATCCAAGATCTATTGGGTTATCCTCAATGTATGGGTAGAGTTAATGCCCACATAACACAGAAGCCAAAGACCGCACTTCAGCGCAAGTACAGCAGTTCGCAGCAAAAAGACCAAGGAAAAGAAGTATGTGTGGATATTTGATCGAGTATAGGCGAGAGAGAATAGGGGAGAACGGGAAAGTAATGAAGATGTACGAAACCAAGGATATATGCCCTGAACTCTCACAAGACTAGCCACGGCCCAAAATGCATAGGCACAGGCAAGATGCAACTGATAGCAAAAAGAACAAAAGTAAACCAGGAAATCTCAAGCACAAGTCTATTTGTCGAGTTTCCGTCTCAGGGTACGCGTCCTCTTCATCAACTTCTTGAACTTGTGCTTCTTCATCTTGGCCTTGCGCCGTCTCATGGTGCTGATGGCATGCATGGTGCGGTTGTTGCGCAGGCGTTCCATATATGTCATACCTGCGGTGGAATCAGAGGGTGCCTCGATGGAGATCTCGTCGCGCACGTCAGATGGGTCCTCCATCTCTCCGCTCCGAACGAAAGGTCCCGTGTGTGCTTCGTAAGTCTTGCGGCCGTCGGCGTGACGAGCCTCACGGATAGTCAGAACGGTCGAGCAGGTCTGGTACTCGTTGTCGATCTGAGCATCGGTGGACTCGGCAATCTCGGCAGCGGATGTGTCCAGCGGGACGGGCGGGGAGGAGGCTGGAATGGGCGAAGACGACGGGTGAATTCCTCGACGGACATCTTCGCGTCGGGACCATCCAGCATGCGGAGTTCGCCGTCTTGTTCGCTGAAGCTTCGGAACTGTTCTTCGGACTCTGACATGCCCTGAGAGCCAGTTTCCATCGACTGCACGGCCGAGGAAAGAGTGAAGATGACGTCCTCCGGCTCGTTCTTGAGCGGCCGCTTTGACGAGAAGATGGCTTCGAATGCATCGGTGCTCGAGGTCGGGGGCACAGTGGTTGTCACTGAGATTGGTCGGTGGATGGAGAAGAACGATGCTACATGGACATCTAGCAGCGAACAAGTTAGCTTTAGGCTATTTCTTTGCGGAAATAAGATCATATATGGGGCTGGCTGGGATTTGAGCACTAACCATGTGGCTGTCGGTGCTGTGTCGAGGGAACACTTGGGAGGTTGGAAAATGCGGCATGTTGGCTAGACTTTGAAGATCCGTTTCGAGCAGAGCTGTCCTTCCCCCGACGGCGGTTAGCCTTACTTTTCTCGCTAGATGAGTTGACACCCTTTGCCGGGGCAGAGGTGTCCATTCGTCTGGGGCCATCGCTGGGCGGGACGGGCGGTTTGGAGGATGAGGAGGAATACCGGCGTTGGTGCAGAGGTCGGGTTGCGCCGAGCAAGCTGCTGGTAAGATTTTGACCGGAGCGAGTTATCCCGGGGAGCGGCAGAGGAGTCCACGCCGCCCGGCGTAAAGATGTTGACAACATGGTTGGTAGATAGCCCAGTCACTGGGAGGTGAATGAGTCTGAATCGGAGGCGAAATCAGTCGGCCCGGAACTCGGGGTCACTGATCATGCGTATGATTATGTAATATTTATGCCTAAGGCATTTAATGGATAGTTCATGAAGATGGGCAATCTTGAACTCGTGTGATTGAGTTGATGGGGAAAACCCCTTCTTCCATACATACATATTGACCGTGCCATATAGTCCAGTCGTTTGATTATTCTTGGAATCTAGGGGTTCTACGCAGTGCACCCCTGGAAAAATGGTCCATGTCGTGTGATCTACAGCAAGGAATCCGATGGTAAGCGACCTGAGGACTCGGTAACTATACCTATCCTTTGTAAGTCATATTGGGACTGGAGTCCGAAGACTGAAGAGGGAAGTGCTCATGAAAGAGCAGGATATCGAGTTAGAGATGATAATATATAGTAAATAAAGAGCCAAAATGATTGTGATAATACAGAGCAGTCGTTAGTAAACACAGCTGCACAAACAAATGGTATCACTCTGCATTAAAACAAAAAAAAGGAAGAGAAAGGTGGGGATGGCAACGACACAGTCGCTAAACCGAAGCGTGGGCATTAGTTGGCGAAATCGGATAGGCTTTTGGATGCAACGTGATAGACCCAATGATGTGAGCAGAGAGCAGACAACAACCTCTCAGTCAAGACGCCTCGTTAAACACAAGAAAGAAAAGAAAAGAAAATGAGATATGGCAATGATCACGAAAGAGTGAACGAATAGTAGCCGCCCTGGAATGCAACCGGAAAATAACTGGTAGGCTAAAGAGCTTGAGAAGTAGGAAAGGAAGAAAAGGAAAAGAAAAGAAAAGAAAAGAAAATCATCGTCACAGACAGACGGTCATGGGGAATGCCTCGGGAATTTGAGGGCCTCTGCCTTATAGTATTAAGGTATGCAGATTCTTCTGAATGATCATGTCTTGTACTGAATCCATAGTCGCCTTGAGTAATGTTGTATCAGTTGCGTTCGTGTAATGGATGTAGATCTCGCGATCTGGGATGCGGTTGATGCCACGGAATCGGTCTGCAAAGTACTGTGCCGAGGCATCATAGTCGGTGTCAGAGCCGGTATAATCTGGGAAGTGCTTGGAGATAGAGGAGATGGCGAGTTTTCCTTTGAACAGATCAATCTTGTTGAGGAATAGAATGATTGGTTTGCGTTTGAACCATTCACCGTTGACTAACGATTCGAATAACATCATGGCCTCATGCATTTGATTCTGCAAAATGTCATTAGCGGCGCAAGCGAGGAAATTTGGGAAAGATGTGCTTACAGCATTCTGATCTTCGACCAGACATTGGTCGTAACCAGATAAAGCGACCATGAACAACAGACACTGGACACCCTCAAAGCAATGGATCCATTTCTTCCGCTCTGATCGCTGTCCTCCAACATCCATCATGCGGAAGTTCATCTGCCCGAGCTCAAACAGAGTTTCCGTAATACCCGTTGTCCGAAGTCGAGCCTGCAACATGTCCTGGTTATCA